ATCAGTGGGTATACTGATTTTTCAGTATTTATCTTTTTATTTAGCCTTTTTAGGGCAATATTCAAAGATGGGTAGTGCATAGTTACATTTAGTCAGTTACATTTACTTTTATTTTATTGAAGTATGGTCAATGGTCACATTTTTTTAAGTATTGGTTACTCTTGCCAACTCTGAGTAAGTCTAAAAGTAACAAAAGCTTTATGTTCATATAGTCAATATGAAATGATTTGAATATTTGTGTTTATTGTTCTGCTCCTTAAGATATGTGTTGTAGTTTTTCTTATTTGTCTGTCTCTCCTTTGAAAATATCAGATACTCTGAATTATGTTTTGTCTTTTCTAATTACATTCATTTCAAATTATAAATCAGATATTTTCATCCTGACAGTTACTCTGTAAGTTACTCTTACCTGAGTGATAGAGATTATTTTTTTACTCTTACTAAAGTATTTTTTTGGAACACTGCTTTGTACTTCTACTTGAGTAATATTATTTAGAAGTAATGTCACTTTTACTTAGTAAATTTTTTGGCTACTTTGCCCGACTCTACCCATATTTTAACAAAAGAAATATTTAAATTATTTATGTTCAAAATGTATTTCTAGATGAAGATGAGAATTCATGGTTTGGTTTTATGCATTTTACATTTAGCTGTTTAAAAGTTGTTCTGTCTGACTGTGCTCATGACTAAGGCTGCGTTCACACTGGTTTGATCCTGGTTTAATCCTGGTTTGATCCTGGTTTGATCCTGATTTGATCCTGCTTTTAGCCCATGAAGTTCAGTCAGACCTGCTGTAGACTTGGTTCGGTCCTGCCCTGGTTTAGTCCTGGCGTGTAGGTTCACTGTAGCTCTAGTTCTTTAGTTCCAGTTTTGCACAGGTTGTTGCATTTAAGCTTTAGCGACTCAGATGGATCTGGTCTCAAATGGTGAATTGTGTGTGGCGACCCCCCTCCCCCTGAATTGTCCCTGCTCCAACAGACGACTGAAGATTTGTGACTAGTGCTTCTCTGTGTAAACGCCATCTGCTGTAGAGGAAGAGGAGAGCGAGGATACAAGGGTGATTCATACGAGCGCACTATCTCTCCCCTCACACACACACAAACGGACATGTCCCATTCAACAGTGGCTATATGTTTACATACACCCTAAAAAATCTGATCATTATCTAATTTCTGGAGTAGCCAGATTATTGAAATGTCATGTCATGATCTGATTTCTGTGTGACTGTGCAGGTTTTGAGAAGAACAATTATCCAAAAAAAAAGTGGCAAACTAATGAGGTGAGGATAAAAATGAAAGAGTTATTTTAAAATCGTAGTGTGTATGTTTTTAGTCACAAAAAGCCAAAAAATAAAAGCTGAAAAACATAAAAAAACATGCATCCTTAGTGTGAACGAGTGAGGAGGTGACAAAGAGGGAGTATTTGGATGGTCAACTCAGAAAAGTGGAGATCTCTAGCATTAACTGTAGTAATAGCAGCAGCAGCAGTAGTAGTTTTAGTAGTTGCAGTAGCAGTTATAGTTAGTCATGGAATACTGAGTATATTGTTAGTAGGGATGCAGGATTCAGCTTTTTCAGTTCAGATACCGATATCAATACTAGGACTTTAAGTACCTGCCAATACACAATATTAACCGATACTATTGTAGGGGTGGAAAATAGCACCCTTATTACACAAGAGATCCAACTGTGTTACGCAACTGTTATTTATCTTTCAGATCACTACAAAAGAGCTTTGTGTGAAGTTCCAACACTATGACACGAACAAAATGAGCTTGTAAATGGTCTTATTACATCCAATTATTGGCCAAATCACAATATCAACTTCAGAGTGATTCAGAGTGACACATACACGCAAAAATGTTGACTGAAATAAATAAATAAAGTATCAATTTTTGTCAATATCAGTCAGTATATAGTGATGTTCTGATTGACTAACTTCTGCAGTGGTCTGAGCTTGTGCCCTCTCCACATTTCAGCTTTCATAGATTTTGCTGGTGACATTTAGAAAAATCACAAGGGTAGAATTCTTTATGTGCTATAGTCTCCCCTGCAAACAACTAAATGATGCATTATATGTCCTTTGGATCCTTTAAAAGCTGCTAACTCTGTAGTTTAGTTCAGTTTAGACCTCAACAAACATTTTTGGGGGGATTTTTGGATTAGTTTATACATAAATTTCACTTTTTTTGTTTTTTTTTTCATTTAGCCACCTACCTGTCAATGCCAAGCGCCTAAATGAACCAAAACAAACCCAGACTAAAATACAGACAGTCTTTGTGTTCGTGAAAATGTGCAGAGGGAAAAGCTTTGTGCATTTGAGGACAAGGAAGAAGTCTGGAACAATACAGAATTACTCAAACATGCAAATGTCAAAATACAACTGCAAGTAAACTAGTGATGAGAGAGCACCATTATTACCAAGATAAAAGTTGATTTTAGAACAATATTTCTCCTTCGACATCCACTAGTTCTATTCATCATCCCACATTTCATTTTCAATCTTTATAATTTTCTCTTACATTTTTGTTTTGGACACATTTATTTTTTCAGTATTCCCATCAGATGTAAGTGTTTCCATGACATTTCAATAATCTAACAACTCCAGAAACCAGATAACAGCCCAGTTTTTTCTGATTCTGTAAACATAACCACTAGTCATCATCAAGAAATCCAGTTTAGAAGTATAGATTTTTACTCTTAATCATAACTCCTAATTACTCCCATATTAAAAAAGACTCTTACCTGACTCACATCCTGCAGTAGCGGAGAAGAGGCTGTCCTGAGCTGTCTTCCCCCCCTCTCCCAGTGGCTCCACTCAGACACGGAGCGGGGACGGTGAGGAGCCTGATGGGACGGGGACGCTGCGGGGACAGGGGCGGGGGACAGCGGAGGGACAGGAGAGGGACAGGCACAGACACAGTAGTCGCTCAGTGGTCTACAAATCTCTGGCTCGCTGCTGCCCTCCTGCTCTGACTGAGAGAGAGAGGAGAGGGAGCACACACACACACGCACAGACTCACGCACACACACACACACACACACACACACACACACACACACACACACACACACACACACACACACACACACACTGAGATACATCCAGAACAGCAGACAGCAAATGAACCAGGCACAAATTTCTTGATTTTGTCATTATAGCCTTTAGACTTCTTAAAGGTGCACTTTCCAACTTCCAGAGGGGCTCCGCTACCATAAGATGTTATTGCTTAGCCTGGAATGTTCCTCACTGTGACATTACTCATAACTAACCGGCATTAAATCAGTTATAAGTGTATTTATTTGCTGAGAAAGATGCCTTGAAATGCATGGATTTTTACAGTCAGTGGAGTCACTGCTTCACAGATCTGACTTGGAACTTGGCCTAGTGGTGTCATCTGCTTGTTACCATGATAATAAAAATGTTTAATGTCATACTTTGGAACATTCCAAACACAGCAATAACATCTACCACCAGAAAAGTTACATAGTGCATCTTTAAAGTGGCAGGTTAGACACATTTCAGTAAAACACAGTTAACATAATTGTACTTTAGATTTTACTAAAAATCTTGGTTGTTTTTATTTATTTATTTAATTTTGGTTTATAATTTTACTTCTTGGTTTGATATGGGCAGCAAACTTTGAGATTTTTTGTTGTTATAGACCTTCAGTACAAATGACAGGTTAGACAATACTCATTTCAGTAAAACATAACCAATATAACTTTATACAGTTAGTTAGAAAGTTGATCATTTGACTTCCTGGTTGGACATGGGCGACAGACTTCCAGGACTTTTGTTATTATAGTCCTCAAACGTGTCAAGGTAAACTACTCATTTCAGCAAAACATACTTAACATAATTGTTTTGACTAGTTTTTAAATGTATAAAGTTATACAGTTTGTAAAATGTACTTTTTAGTTGGACATAGGCAGCAGACTTCCAAAAATTATTATAGTACTTGAACTTAACAAAATGGTATTTAACATTTTACTAAAACTATTATGTGTTTTAACTAGTTTTTAAATTTCAGTGAAGTGTTTAATTTTACATCCTGGTTGGACAAAGGCAGCAGATATGACACATGCTGAGGTAATTCCATAACCATAAAGTTAACAAAGGCCAACATTGTAAAAGACTTTTGTCATTCTAATCCTGACCTCACAGGCCTTAGACTATCAACCCTATGTAATAACCTGGTCTCAACTCTCTTTTCTTCTTCTCCTTTAGTTTAAGATGCACTATGTAACCTTTCTGGTTGAGGGTCCAACACCTTCTGGTCTCCATGGAGATGATATTTCCTGACATTTCCACATATGGCATTAATTCAAAAGACACCTGGCCACCAGGTTAAGTCAGATCCTAGGAGAGGTGAGCCTGCACATAGTTACATACCTGAATATTTCAGAAAATAGCCTCTGTGTGCTACATTGCTTTGTCTCCACAGAGCTATACATTTTAGAGGTGGCAAGAAACTAAGTAGACCTGTAGAGTTGGGCATCACAATGATACATTTACAGTTGTAATATGTATAACAATTTGAGTTATACAGCGTAATATACACATTTCATAAGTACTTTGGGGAGCAACTGGAAGGTGATGAGAGCTACTGAAGCTCCTCAGCAACAGATTGGAGACCTCTGGTCCAGGCTCTGTAGTTACACAGTGTAGTTACTGCAACAGATGCAAAGACAACTGGAGGTCTAGATATGTGTAGACTACTTAGTAGCTCATTGTGCTCAGTGGTCAAAGAAAATCCTGCTCCAGGTTTAGACCTAACATGTGTCAGTGATATTAGATATAGACCTACTGTAGTAGGTCTACTGTAGGCCAGTGTAGGACTACTGGTGCTGTTGGTCAGGGGAGCAAAAGAGACAGAAAGTCTTGGGTAAAACAGCAGACGTGTGTGTGTTGTGGTGCAGCCTGTATTGTTTCCTTTGAGCTGGCTCTGGTGACAGTGATGTGCCGGTCAGCAGAGGGTTAAACACCGCTGCACCTGTGGCTCCCGGACCGCTGCACTCGGCCTGTGTCGGATCACATGTTTGGACAATAGGCTCTGATCCGGTATGCGTGCATACAAAGGTGATGTACGTCAGTAGCTGCCTCCGCGGATGAGACAGAGCACAGAGACTGCTTCTTAACATTAATTTATTCAAGCGGCAGTAAGATCTCGCGGTGCTACCGTTCAGACATCTTGCACTGGTTTAGTCTGGCCCTAGCGAACATTTGCCTTAAACACCGCCTGTCAGCGCCCTGGCTCGCCTGGATCCGCTCTGTTCTCAGCTCCCCGCGCTGTGACCTCGGCTGAGCTAATGCGAGGAGCGGAGCTCATAGCGTGACAAGCCCGTGGACTTTAGCAGCCTCCGTTGGAGCTCGCAGCCTGCCGTGCATTGTGCGTCATTGTGCGCCATCACCAACGTTCGCGTCTTTTTCTCAGCCGAGAAAAACATGGCAACACCGGCCGCGGTCAACCCTTCAGGTGAGTCCCCACGGAGCGTGTTTGTCCCGGCACAGCGCTGCGCGGTGTGTCGGTCTAAACAAAGGCGAGTGGAGCTGTTCGTGCGGAGGACACAGGCTGGCGTGAGGCCGCCTGGCTCCGCATCCAGCCCCTTCCCCCACTTCACCGAGGCGACGGGCTTTTCTCTACAGGCAGCACAACACAACTTCTGTGAGCTAAGACTACACAGAGCGAATATTCACGTTACAGCTGTATCCTTTATTACACCGGAACGAGCTATTATGCGCCTCTTATCCATTGGTTACACAGTTTTCTCAGAACACGGTGCTTTTTGTATCGGTTTTGCAAAGCTCTTCTGTGACGGTCAGTGGAAACAGCCTGTAGCCTGGTGATGTAGACACTGGTCAGTTATGGACAGCACTTGTGCCTTAAACTTGTCCAAGTTTACAGAGAAGTAAAACCTCTGAGAGGACATGAGAGACAGAGCATGTCTCTGTGGTCCTGCAGCATGCTGAGTTTCAGATTCCCGTGTTGAATGAACACATTTTATTACAATTTCACTCTTTAGGAGATGCGGTGTAGACTATAAGTCCCCGTAAAAGCTGTATTAATGTCTTGGCATAGAGCACAACAGTAACAAAACCAACTCTCTGGATTAAATCCAGTATGTTTGGATTTCAGATTATTAGCTGCTTTGCTACTTGTTGGACAGTACCACTGGCACTTGTCACAGAGGAAGGACTCTCCTTCCTCTGAACGACAGAAATTCATTGTTGTGTTTGGTCAGACAATGGTGATTGTGCCAAAGGGACAATGTCTTAAACCAATTTTTATTGTTAAAGGTAAACTATGCAACGTTTTTGTGGAAGGTCCTCCACCTGCTCATCCAAATTGCTATTACTGCTTTGCCTGGAATGTTCCAATGTATGGCATACATTTATCGACATGGAAACAAGGTGACACCACCAGGCCAAGTTCAAGTCAGATCTATGGAGGTGACATGCTTACATGTTTGCAAAGTATTTCTTCACCAGTAATAGCTCCTGTCTTTTCTCTCTTTTTTTATATAAATGTAGGCTAGATAGATAGAGTGAATGGTGTACTGTGATGTAGAACATTTCAGACAAAGCAAGAACTTCTCCATGGTGGTGCACCAGAAGAGTTACACAGTACACATGCACCTACATGTCTTCATTCATATATGATGGACAGTGCTCAGATGGAACTACAAAAGGCCCCCTGCATCTGAAAACATCACAGTTCAATGTCAAATATTCATTTTTAGACTATAAACTTTTGTGAACAATGACTGTGGTTAGATGCACAATTTGATTATTGTCAGAGAATAATAAGATATTTAAAGTGTGAAAATGTGAAAAGCAAAATCATCTGATTTCTCTCAGGTCATGCAGTTTGCATGCCATTGAAATCATCTTAAAGGTCCAGAAATCTGATCATCATATTTTGGTGTATGTAAACATAGCCAATGTCAAATGCTGTGCTGAGATGTGGGATGTCTATCAGGTGAATGGTTACTCATACAAATGTATTTCAGACCAATACAGCAACAGGGACCTCATGGAGCTTTGCACAATCAACTGATCGATTACACATATAAACTAAATATACAATCAGTGATGTAGTTTAATCAAACAGAAAATAGTGTTACCATGTTAAACCTATGAACACATGCTCTGAATATTCTATAGAACAGAGGACATTCTGAAGTTGACCTGTGAATACCAAGACCATCCCTGCTTGTAAAGTGTAAAATTCCCAATTACTTCTATGACCCTCATCCATGTCACATACTGCACAGAAGAGACTAGGAGGCTCACCTGGTTTGAGTCAGAAATATCCTCCACCGTTAATATTTTTTCCAAAGGATGCTTTTAAAGCCTGAATCACTCTTGATAGATTATGTATTAATTATGAAGTAAGTGGTCATGCTTTATTAAACCTGTAAATAGTTAAATATAAACATGACAAAATATCACCTATCTTGAACAGTTTTAGAATAATTTTCAACATCATCAACACCAGTTTAGAACCACATGCTAACTTAAAGAAAGCACTATTATTTTGTACCAAATTGTAATACTGTGAAAACACTAGCCTGACCATATTTACTACACCAGCAAACCAATGCCCACAGTACCATCCCTGCTTGCTGTGAGCTTGGTGCTTTCCTGGTCTCTCAGCCTCACAGCAACATGCACAGATCCTGTAATTAATCCTGTGTGGGAGCCCTCAGCTGAACAGGTCAAGCGCGGCCTTCCTCGCGTTCCTGTCACTTCATTGTGGATGTAAATGAAGCCAGAATATAAATAAAGAAGTGGTGCTTATTAGTGCTACGGCTGCATACAGAATGTGTGCGTGCTGCTGGAGAATCACAAATGAGCAATTGTATCTCCACAACGCACTGTTTGAGAGGGCTAAGGGGTCTACGGAGGCTGGGTCTGTGTGAGGAGCTGGGATCTGATATGAGGTTTGGTCTCAGTTTGGGTTGGCAAAAGTATTGAAAATCAGATGATAATTGTTACAACAACTGGTATCGAAGCTATATACACGTTCGAGCAGGTATTGATTCTAAAGAAGTTGCATTCACAGGACAGAAATTAACCTTTCTTGAATATCTTTAGAATTGTCTTGTGCTGTTTTGGAACAAGTATTAGCGCATAAACTAGAATACACCCATGGAACCTACCTGGACCACTGAGGGTTTACACAGATATAAGGCTGCATGGAAATATAAAAATACTTTGTTTTAATGTTGAAAATGACATAATGTCTGTGGTCTAAATAAAAAGTGTCGGAATTGGTGTGTTCCTTAGTATCAAAATTGAGTTTGAAATTTTAATATCATGACGACATTAGTTTCAAGTCTGTGATGATCTGATGCGATGCCCTATCCGATCCATTTTTGTCAGTAATAATTTAAGATCTAAAACAAATGACACTTGGATATTGGATATTTTCATCAGTACGTAAATAGTCACTGATTGGTTAAATTGGCTTGTCACTCACTCAGAGCAAGAGGAAGGGTGACCAGTAGAAGTGGGTGAGGATGAGCATACAGATATTAAATTGAATATTTGTGAATTATGACTTTTCATTTCACCAAACTAGCGTAGCCCTAAGATCTATTCTGAGGTCTGTTCTGGTCAGTTCTGACATCAGTTCTGAGATCAGTTCTGGCCTGTTCTGAGGTCTCCTCTGAGGTCTGTTCTGGTCTGTTCTGAGGTCAGTTCTGAGGTGTGTTCTGAGGTCAGTTCTGAGGTCTGTTCTGAGGTCAGTTCTGAGATCAGTTCTGGCCTGTTCTGAGGTCTCCTCTGAGGTCTGTTCTGGTCTGTTCTGAGGTCAGTTCTGAGGTCTGTTCTGAGGTCACTTCTGAGGTTTGTCCTGAGGTCAGTTCTGAGGTCAGTTCTGAGGTGTGTTCTGAGGTCAGTTCTGAGGTTTGTTCTGAGGTCAGTTCTGAGGTCTGTTCTGGTTTGGTCTGAGGTCAGTTCTGAGGTCAGTTCTGAGGTCTGATCTAAACTCAGTTCTGAGGTCTGATCTGAGGTCAGTTTTGAGGTCTGTTCTGAGGTCAGTTCTGAAGTCAGTTCTAAGGTCAGTTCTGAAGTCTTTTATGAGGTCAGTTCTGAAGTCTGTTATGAGGTCAGTTCTGGTCAGTTCTGGTCATTTCTAAGATCTGCCATGAGATATGAAAACTGGTTTGCTCAGATAGAGCACAGCGTTCCCCGGCAGACACAGTCTTGTTAACCTGAGGACGTTACATAGCAGCAGCCTTCCATGTTGTTCAATACTTTGGGCCATATCAAAGAGGATATGGGTCAAAGAGTATGTCAAATATTTGCTGCAATTTCTTCATTGTGAATTTAAACAGTTGAATTGGATGGCTTGAAAATATATGTGCTGAACATTCAGTTAAAAAATTCAGAATCTGAAACAAATGATCTTTTGTAGTAGATAAGGTACAATAATACCCGTTAGGGGATAACTGCATAATCTCAAATGTTATCAGGTTAAACTGGACGCTGTTAATACAGTGTTCTAGATTGACTGTACATTCTGACCAGTGTACAGTTTGACCAGATAACATTAGTCATTATTCTGTTATTCTCTCATTAGTTGTTCTGTTATTCCTTAATAAGAACTAGTACATTCATACTGAATTAATTTACCCTGTGCTTCTCTTACGTTCCAAAAATACAAAATCTGCTTAAATAATTCTTATCAGTAACTGCAGTAACTGAATGAACGTGAACAATGCCAGCCCTGAATCTGAATCTGAAAGTGTATGTAATCTCCACATACTTCTGATGGATGGTCTTGCTTATCTGTTCCATTTTAAAGCAGTGAGGTTAGAGGCCTGGTCACTTTTGTCCAGAAGTTTGTGTCTGACTCTGATCTGATATCATCATCTAAGACCTGTACTTGTGATATTCCCCTCCGGGGTCATCTTTTATGAATGGTGTTTGACCGAGATAAGTGCAGATATGAAGCGGGTGCAGGCCTGGTGCATACTAACTGAGTGAGGAGTCTGGGGAGCTGAGAGGGTCCTGAGGGAGGAACACTGCAGTTTGACTGACAGAACACAAAGCACTAGTGTCATACATGTTCCCAGTGGAGATAGCTAAACATGCTTTGTATAATGTAGGGCAGGGGTCTCCAAACTGTGGTTCAAGTACCTACATGAAGAGTGACAATAGGATGCACCATTTCACAGAAACACTGAGAAGAATCATTCAAATGATACAGATCTATAAAAATATGATTTTAGTATTTATGCACCAATCCAACCTTTCAAAAATTGTTAACATCATTTGTAAATGTTTCTTACTTATTAACTAATAATTTACTAAGAAATGCCAAGTCATTAACAAGTGTTTAATAACCATTTACAATCATGGACAAGACAAAAAGTGTCATTACTGATTTATAAAACATTCATAAATTTTTAATTAGGAACATTTGTAAACAGTTTATTTTTAAAATTATTTTATTTATTGTATTTAACTACTCATGTACTAATAATGACATACTTGTATTTTTTAGTCAATGATTAGTTAAAGGTTAATGTACATGTACAAATGATGCAGTCATGCCTTATTATAAAGTGTTACCAAAAAATCTATAACTTCTAGTCCTTTAGTTGTTTAGTCAATGAATTGGCTGATATCTATCGGGCTGATATTTGCACTTTTAGAATACGGCTATCATCCTTAAATCAGCCGCACAGGCCGATGTTTTGTTTTGGCCGAGCTTTTGCCTAAAGAGGACACATAAAGCTTTATTTGCTCTTAAGTACAGAGATTACAGCACACAATGTGGCTTCACCGCTATCTTATGAGTTTATGGTAAAAAATGGCTGCGGGTGAGCTTGTAGTAACTTTAAATTACTCAATTTGGAATAAAACAATCAAAATCAGCTCTACATATTGGCCCAAAAATATCGGCAACGTTTATTAGTCATCATTCTCTCTGGTTCTAAACAATCCACATTGGCCATGAAAAAAGCCCACATGGGTTGACCTCACATTTTTATTAGTTGAGGCAACTAACTATTTTAATTTTGGGATTACGAGGATAAAAGCAGAAAAAGGAGAAGGAGAAAGCAGGGAGCGGGCTGGAGATTTTGTGGTGACTGAAACGTTGCATCTGCCTTTTCACTTATAAAGATGCAGTTAATAAGAACTTCTCTTGAATAGTTGTTTTTGTGTGAGATTCTAATCATGTTGAGGGCTTTTGCAAGTGAAAATTCATGGAATGATATATTTAAACATGCTTGCCTTTTATTGAGGATTTCATGCTTTGACTTTTTTGAGTAATTAAAAATGTTTTAAAGGGTTAAAAATTGCAAGCATTTGAATTGGTAGGGTCCTAGTATAGGTATTGCAGAGAGATCTATTTCTATGCACTACCTGTCTGTACCATATGGATAGTGTTCATAGGCAGCCTCATCAGAACAGTGCCCACCAGACCCTGAAAGCAATCAGACACATGTATTTATGCAAAGGGGGTTCTGGGTACCTGGAGACACACTGGGTTGATAAAGCACTTCTCAGCTTACAGACCAAGTCCTACATTTTGACTAGTGCATGCACACTATTTGAGGTGAAAAGTGAGTATTCACACAGTGTTGTTGAGTACCACTTCACAGCTCCAAACTGTTCCAAGCTCCTTAGTCATATACTATATATATATATATATATATATATATATATATATATATATATATATATATATATATATATATATATATATATATATATATATATATATATAGTTTATGTTTTGGAAATTAATAATGAAAAAAAAAGTCTTTGTTTGTAAGACAACAAAGACTGAATCAAAAATCGTGATCAATCAAGAGTGAAATGAGGAAAAGGAATAATGATTATTTTTTTGTCACGTTGCCCACCCTTACATTAAAGATGGGGTATTAAAGTTTTGGGTATTAATTGCAAGCACATATATATTTAGATCATTATGCTACTGTTTATTGTTTTGAAAATGCTATGTTTGTTGAAAACAGCACATTAAAATGCTTAATACATTTTTTATGTTTTGAGTTCCAAAAAGTTGATTTTGTATAATGCTCTGTAATGATTCCTAAATGTGTTTTTGTTTTCATATCTTTGCAGAGATGGCCAGTGAGCTGCCCGGTGCTGTGTCCATGCCTGGAGCCGTGGGAGGCAGTCAGGTACGGATGGGAGGAACGGTCCCAGGACGAGGAGGAAAGAGGCGCTCTGCTGGGTGAGTGTGTTCTTTCACACGAAAGAAAAAGCATTCTGTTTACAGGGACATGAATAAGTGATACAGAGCATATGGACTCAGGATAAACAGTGAGGCACAGAACAATCACAGCTCTGCACTGCTCTAAGGCTTTCAGCAGTTCAGGAGTGACTGTACGAGGCTGCAGAAGGCCCATTTAACATGCTATGACCCCCCAACCCCGCCTCTAGAGAACACCATAGTGAATGGCGCTCCATTAGGTCCATATCTGGTTTGGTTTAATACTTGATTATCAACCCCTAACACAAACCCTAACCCTAACCAACTTAACCATGTGACGGCTTAAATTTCTAACATGTCTAACATGTTTTTGTTCACAACAGCTAGTTGTGATCTCATTCATGTTGTAATGATGTGCATAATGTGCTTTTTTGGTGATATTGTCAGATCATGGTTCAGTATTTTTCTATTTAACACAGGTCTATGATAAAACACAGACACTTTTTCCCACCCACTCCTCCATAAATCTCTGAGCTAGTGACAGGTGGAATTAACCTTTCATTGTGATCTATGAACTCTCAGAACAAGCAGATGGCTTATTTTACAATTTAAAGGCATTAAAGATACCAAGTTTACATGAATCATGATAAAATTGAAATCATGATCTGGCTCAAAGATAATCATGCTATAAACTTTTTGGCATTATCCACTCCACTCTTCACCAATGGTGCCCAACTCTGTACAACGGCTGCAGCTGGACCCTCTTGGATCATTTCAGTGCTCAAACTGCCTTCATCAACATGTATCTCCACTGTGAATCAAGCAACTATTGTTTTAGAGAGCACCTGTGCTGCACTTGCAGTAGGTGTGCATGTGATTGTGTCCACAAATACATGTGTAGCTCTGTGTCCATGATCCTTTCAGTATTCAGAAGAGCTTCCTCTTTCTTGTTTCTGAAATGTGGTTTTCTGGTTCTGTTCAGGATGGACTTTGACGATGAAGATGGAGAAGGACCAAGCAAGTTCTCCAGGTGAGAGATCAAAGGAAGCAGATGTCATTGGTCATCTTATCTCAAAACATCAGGGTATCAGCGGTTTCAATTCAGCTCATTACAAGTATATAGACTGAACTCCTTCTTGCTTGCAGATGCGTAGGGCACCTTGAACCAGTAGGGGGCCCCCAAAGCACATGCTTAGTCAGTAGCAGTATCTCAACGAGTGGTCTAACATATTACATAAAGAGGACAGGGTTAAAGGTGCTGATACCTGACCGGTACCTGTTTTTTACTGTCTTAAAAACAGAACCAGTTAATTTTAAATGGACTGCAGTGGTTCAAAGTTATTCCTCACTTACATTATTAATATTATAATTCAGAATATCCTAATTATTCATCGTGATGAGTTTATAAGTGCTTTTCACAAATTTCAGAAACCAGAGTGGACTTTTGTCACCACAAAATAAAGCAACAATTAGCATGAGATCTGTGCACTTCCTGATTCTAGGATATTAAAGCATGAATTAGATGTAGACACTTAAAAATTATGTTTTATTGTTCTTAATATTTATTGAAAACATTTCCTTTCAAATATGATGGGGTTATAATATCACTTCATAAAAATATGGTTGCTGTTTATTGCAATATTTCCTATAGCAACAACAGATTACTCTTCTTTTGTTTTGGACCAATTAAGCATCTTGCAAAGGGGCCCTCAGAGCTACTGTATAAGTTTGCCTAAGTCTAAACCAGTTGATACCCTGCCTGTCCCATGTTTCCACTCTCACAGCCGTCGCTCACGTTTACAGCTTATTGTTTTGAATGAATGTAAAGAATGTATGAATGCATTTTTCACTATATTGTCAAAGTGGTGACCTTACAGAGTTCATTCACTTCAGGAAGAGAGCTCCCACTGGTGGTCACAGGAGGAACTACAGCAGTCTGACTCCCAGGGTTTGACTCCACAACAGATTTATCCTATATATTTTTTAGTATGCACAAGTAAGCAATTGTAAAAAGCTATTGATAATTATAGATTTTATTTTGTTTTATAATTGTTTTATTTTGTTTTACATTTACATTTAAAAATAAAATTATGCACCACAATAAATAACATATACCCATTTTAGGCCCATATGACTGAAAGTGTTTTTAACTTTTGTTTGCCATTTCCTGCCATTGCCCCCACTTTTTATTAGATGTTTTGAATATTTGTGCATAGTTGTGTATTTGACGGAGCATCTTCTGTGTTGCAGGTATGACGATGATCAGGGGTCTGGTGGGGATAAGGAGAGATATGCCAGGTATGGAGAGCCGTCTCTGGGCTTCTGTAGGAGATCAGACAACAAACAGGAGGCACTGTCCTGGGAACTTGTCCAACTGTTTAAAAGTTCAGTCAGCTTCATTTGGTCGTCCAGGAATTTATTCTAACAGATTACATTTTCAGACCTAAAAAGAAGGGTCTAGAAAATAATGTGATAGAATAATTGATTAAATTGACAAATGCAAGCTGAATAAATTTAATGCCATTTTGTGGAACATTCCAGGCAGAGGAATAAGATCTCCATGGAAACAAGCAGATGGCGGTCCCTCCACCAAAAAAATTTGTGCACCTTGAATATCTGATATCAAATTGTAATTTTTCTGACAACCATTGAGATTAGAGTGGCAATTTATTTTGTAAAATTTTGATTTTGTTTAAAGTGCACATTAGAAGAAACAAACTGAAATATGAACTGCCACACTCATATGTCACGTCACATATTTTTCAAAACATGTGACATGAGACATGGTCTAAAAGTTCAAGATGTGCATTATGTCACATATTACTAACTAAAGTTAAACTGTGGTAAATGAATGAATATGATTGTACACATTTTTGTTAGTTTGTCAAAATGATAAAAGGTTAAATTCAGGTTTCCATTTATAAATACATGATTGTTTTAGAAATGTTATCCAATTGCAAACAGTTACATTTTGACAGTGTTTTTTGTGGGGTGATATCCTCACCCCCCTTCTTCATGTAACTTCACCCTGTACCCATGTGTAAAAGTGTTAGCGGTCTCATCATCACCTGTGTGTATTTTTGGTGTGTATTCTTAGCGTGTTTCTCGTCTGATTTAGTTCCTTCCTCTGCAGAGAGAACCATAGTGAGATCGAGCGACGTCGCAGGAACAAAATGACTCAGTACATCACGGAGCTGTCGGACATGGTGCCCACCTGCAGCGCTCTGGCCCGCAAGCCCGACAAACTGACCATCCTGCGCATGGCTGTATCCCACATGAAGTCGATGAGGGGCACCGGGAATACCTCCACAGACGGGGCCTACAAACCCTCCTTCCTCACAGAGCAGGTATGCATGATTTGCTTATTATTACTTGTTACAAATATTCATCATAGTTCTACATTAGTTAAGTGGTACTTTATAGAAAAAAACAGAGAAGAATATACAAAAATATAGGAAGCAGCACTCCAGAACAGCTTTGAATCATCTATGCCATCAACAGAAAACTCTAGCAAAAATTTAAGGAAGATTTACATGCAAAGAACATTTTTTTTCAGCTTTATTGTTATTTATTTTATTTTTATTATAAGTCTAATAATAACTACTGTGTAAATTAGATAATTATTGGCCATTGTAAACATTATGGTTGGTAGGTAACAGTTATGGAATTACTTTTACTTATGTCATAGCCTTTTTGCTGCCTGTATTGAAACAGGAAATAAGTAGGCCTATAAACCACCAAAGTTAATGGTGTTTTGTTTTTTTTGTTTTTAATGATGTGAAGTATTTTTTAGATAAATTAGTAGTTTAATCTGTCAGTCTACCACAGGACAGCTGAGGCTGCAGAAGGGAGCTTACCACCACTGTGGAGTGAATGAGTAATGAGTACACTGTATTGAATTATAGTAATGACACAGTGTAGTGCCTTTGTCAGGCTCATAGGCACAACACTCAAAGGCACTGTATTATTTGTGGGTGCACTCTCCCGCACAGCTGCACTTTTTACTGGGAGCAGAATCACAGGAGCATATATAAGGGCCTGAAAAAAAAACAAGCCTTGGCTCAGAAGTAACAGTAGTTTTCAATCTGCGACACAGTAGAGGTAACTTTTTTTGTGTTTTGTAGGAGCTCAAACACCTGATCCTGGAGGCAGCAGATGGCTTCCTGTTTGTGGTGGCAGCTGAGACCGGCAGAGTCATCTATGTGTCCGACTCGGTGACACCCGTCCTGAACCACCCACAGTCTGAGTGGTTCGGCAGCACCCTGTATGAGCAAGTGCACCCTGACGATGTGGACAAGCTGAGGGAGCAGCTAAGCACCTCTGAGAACTCCATGACAGGTATTCATGACACAACTCACAACTGAGGTCACCCTCCCATCACGACTGTTCACACTCCCATCATGACTGTTCGCTCCCACACCACAATTGTTCTGTACCATCCCTCAATTACCATAGTAACTGGGGGTCTGTGGTTAAAGCAGGGGTCCCTCAGCCTAAAGGTTGGAGGATTGATTTCTGTTTGGACCAAGTTCTGTTGTTTTGTTGCTTCCATCAATCTGCCCCAGGGCAGCCGTGACTACAGTAGTAGCTTACCACCACCGAGTGTGACGTGAATGAATAATGCACTATTTCATGCAAAACGTTTTGGGTGTCTTTAAAGGCGCCATATAATATTAAAATCACACCATACTATTTTACAATGTTTTCTTTTTTACATATAGAATAACATTTTGTACTTTTGAACCCAGATTTTCTTTTGCACTATGGCAATGACAAATACTGTTGCTGAGAACAGGGGTCTGTTATGGCCTCCATGGTGAAATGGTGGAATGTGCGCTAGTCAGCACAGGGTTGATTTTTTTAATACGGTTTGTTTTGGGAGATGTCTCAAATGCTGTTGAAGTAGGAGTGAGTGGGAAAAGGTCATTTATCATGTTTTGCACTCATGTATAGATCAATTTTTCTGTCCTCAAATGTGAATGTTTAGGTTTCAAACTGTGTGCAAGCAAGTATTGTACTTTTTTTTTTTTTGCCTCTGAGGGTTGTGTTGATGTCTTGCACTCTGTTTTTCGACACTAGAGGGCAGTATTGTGTTGTATAAACCAGTCAGTCTGTCAGCAGGTCTGAAGCAAGTGATTGATAGCTAGTGTTCAGTAGATTCTGCTCTTCAGTCTAATGCCAAATAAAATGTAATTTATTTTTCCTGTTTGAATGCTTTAAAAGTACAGTATGTAGCTTTTTTCTGATGGAAGCCCTTCCTCGTGCCATCTGCTTCTCCCATGAATGTTATTGCTTGCTTTCAGTCGCTCCTGCAATGTTATCTCTTTCATTTGCCACAGCTGCAGGTATTTTTATTGATCAGGCTTGCCTCTCCATAGCTGTGACTAGTACTTGGTAGCGTCACCTCCTTGTATCCATGGAGATAGTTAAGTTTAGAGCTGTGGTGATTCACATATATTTCCTAATAACAATTCTAATGCAGATTTATTCTTCATTGCAATAAAGTGAACATGATGGTCATGTTATAATTTATGTTTTGGTTGTGATGTGTCCGATCAGTAAACAGAATGAGCCTAACTCGAGTCTCATTTGGGTTGCCCCAGTACTTGCAGCCAATCAAGAATCAGTGCTAGTGCAGCCTCTGGAGGTTCTGAGCTTTCACATGAGGCATGACCTGTCCATATACTGAGAATGAGAAAAAAAGTGTCCTCTATCTGCAGATTAAGGAACAACCCAGCTTCAGTTGATTGTAATAACTTTTTAAAAACAATAAGAGCTATTGTTGTCATGATACTAAAATTTCAAACTTGATTGCGATACTTAGAAATAGATTCAATACTCAACAGAATGAGATTTTCAGCATTAAACAATAGTACTTTTATATTACCATGTGGTTTTATATCTGTGTAATCCAGGGATCTCCACCCTTTTTCCTCCGGTGAGCTACTTTTACAAAACGAAAATGAAAGAGAGCTACTAGTTTTAGCGGTCACAAGAAACTGAGCATATATAAGAAGCACGGTAAGCCCTACATGAGGTACAGTTAGATGCCTATAAAACATAACCATTTATTAGTGTAGAAAATTATATATGTATCAAAATGATACAATGTACAGTGATAAAAAGGCATTTAATTAATACAATTTTACTTATTCAGCACATTACGTGTAATTCAGAAATCCCTTGGTGAGCTACTTGAAAAGGAGTGGAGAGTTACCAGTAGCTCCTGAGCTACAGGTTGGAGACCCCTGGTGTAATCCCTCAGTGCAGGTAGGTTCGGAAGTAGTCCATGGGTATATACAAATCTATGTGCTCTTATATTTGTTCTGATGCAGCTCAAGATCATTCTAAAGCTATTCAGGAAAGGTTCATTTCTGTTTCTACCTGCTCAATTGAGTATCTACTAGATAATAGTTGTAGTATCAATTAGTGTCTAGTTTTTGATACGTTTGACAACCCTAATAAGAGCAGAGACTACTATGGTTCCTTCCGTTTGTGATGGGGAGTAGAACACAATAATAAACACTATATTGTTAACACAATAACCGAGTGACATTGATTCACTTAATTAGCAGCTTGTTTTGCTTCACAGTTCAAGTCTTAGTGACGTGGTGTTTATCAGGGCTATAAAGAATGCGTGGGGAGTGGGCTGTGCGCCTTCAGCTGCCACTGGCTAACTCCATATTATCACGCTAAAAGGCTGCTTCCCATCAGTGTGCTGTGTAGAAAAGTCTGATGTGCACATTCCGCTGGAGGAAAACATCTCCCCCTCACACACATACACACACACACATACCCGTACAAAAACACTCGAGAACATAACACATCAGTCATTTTGATTGTAGGCCTTGTTTTGCCTCTATAGTGCACCTTAATATTTGAAAAGGTTGAATTCAAGGTAAAAATGATGTAATGTATCCAGAAGGATTTTGGCGCTGTATTGTACGTCAGCCCCAGGAGCTCTCTCAGGGATGTTTTGAGCTTTGCAGGGGCCCTAAGATGCAGCTATGGGCCCCATACTGTGGAAAACATGTTAAATACCTTGACTTGTATAATCCATATTCATGCCAAAAATCTAAATCACCTACAACTATAAATGTACACATATTGTTCCCATAGAGAAATATGTCCTCTGCATTTGACCCATTCTTCAATGTCTGGAGCAGTGGACCCCAAGGACCCATCTCCAGATCTTGAGCTAGTCTTGGTCAGGACTACCTTTGCTGGGGGATTTTTTTTTACCTTGTTCATGTTTTGGGTTGATGAGGGAAACCAGAATGCCCAGAAGAAACCCACTCATACACAGGGAGAACATGCAAATGCTACACAGAAAGAGTTTGTTTTTCATACCTGACAGTTTCGACTGCTCACTTCCCTTCCTCAGAGTGTTCACGTGATGTGATGTGTCCGGTCTGCTGATTTATACAGGTTTTGGTGCTGTTTTCCTACCAGAGGAGGCAGGATGATAGCGCCATCTGCAGTCCAACTTCCTCAGGACAGTATCCCTAGGACGGAGCAAACATCATTGGGACAGAGGAAAACAAACATCGCCATTGGATTAAAGATGCAATCCAAATACGGAAACGTGCCCACATGACTATAAACTGGGACTGGGGCTTTTTTACTCTCACACACCTGGGATACTGTCCTGAGGAAGTCGGACTGCAGATGGCGCTGTCGTCCTGTCTCCACCGGTAGGAAGACAGCGCCAAAACCTGTTTAAATCAGCTGACCAGACACATCACAGCAACGTCACGTGACCACTCTGAGGAAGACCACAGGAAAAACAAACTCTTGGTCTGAAAAAAGAACCTCATGACATAAAATATATGAAGACCAAATTAACCTCATTGGACTGCTACATAGAACGGCCTGGGCATCTCTCACACTAAGACATTTTGAAGCACAATTTATTGCTACAGAGAAATATTGTGATGAATGATAAGTAAATCATCTTTAAAGGTGCATTGTGTAAATTTCTGGCATTGGATCAAATGGTTTAATCCATGGAAATGTTATTGGTTTGTCTGGAATGCTTCACAGTCTGGTATTAAATCTTCCTATCTTCATGTGGACCAAACCAGAGCAAGTTACAGGTCAGATCTGTGGGGAGGCGACCACTCTCACAGTCAGAATGTCTGTTTTTGTAGGTAATTTTGAACAATAAAAACACATGTAATTGAATAAATGTAAGGATGACATATAGAATGTCATACTCTGGAACATTCGAGGCAGAGCAATAACATCTCCGTAGAAACATTAGAAAGGTTACACAATGCACCTTTAAATATACTGCATGATTAAAAGGCTTGAGCTGTAACACAAAAATGAGAGAATGAACTAATAATTTGTTATTTTATTCAACCCTCTGCAGCTCAAATCTTCCCTTAATACATAAAATGGTGAAAATCTCCCCACTGTTGCAAAGAAACGGTATACACGACAAATACTGAATAATCGTGACAGGCCTAGTAGCATGTGTATGTGGGGTATTATAAAACGTTGCTTTTCATTAGTGATAACAGCTCTAATTTGTTTCATCTGCTGGCAAAGCGAGCCTATTGTTTACATCACATTTGATCTATCATATTGTTTTAATTAATTCATACTTCAAATATAGTATTTATTTGTCACTAAAATACAAAGGACTGGCACTGTCTATCCAATTTTATCCCAATAAAATACTAACCTTAAAATATATCTTTGGGGGTTGCCCTGGCTGGTGGTCCTATCCATCTACAGAGCCAGCTTATACCAGAGAACAGCATTGTCCTCTGTGTACCAGAAGTTTTGGACCACATGAAGCCTGGAAGCACTTGTCCCAGACTGAGTGCGTCTCTACGGTTGGATGAAAAGCAGACTTGCAGACATTCACCAGTGCTATTTGTTCAGTGTCTACAGCAGTTACAATCACACTGCGAAGACATTTTCAGAAGTTATATCTGCTTAGGGACAGAGTCTGGGCTGAGGCAGTGGTGCGGACCTGCCACTGTCTTCACACTTTGATTGATCTTTGTTCATTAAGTGAAAAGAACTACAATCTAGATAATAACATGCATTTTTGTAGCTTTTTCTGCTCAGTCTGGTAATATAATGGCAATTATCTTTGTTGGAGATGATTACAATTATACAAAATGTACCACAAACGATTATTGTTAACCCTTTTAATAATAAGCAATAATGTTGTTTATCACCTCATCCTGATTGGGTTTTACTTTACATCGATTAAAACTGAAATAAATTATGAATCAAAATTATTTGTCTAACTTACCTAAACTAAATGAAACTGTGTCAAAAAGACGAGAGTTGTCACACTACTAAAGCTTGATTTCGATACTAAGGAATAGATTTGATATTGATTCAGATTCTATGATGATAATTTAAAAAAAAACACTCTTTATTTAGACAATAGAACATCATTTCCAACATTAAATCGTTATATTTCCATGTGATCTTCTCTCTGTGTAATCCCTCAGTCGTCCAGGTAGGTTCCATAGATTTCCATGGGTGTATACTAATCTATGTGGTTTTACAGCTCAAGATCATTCTACAATTATTTAGCAAAGGTTAATTTCTGTTCATTGATGATCTTTTTGTATCTCGTTTTTCTATACTTTTGATAACCCTACTACATTACACACCTGTTCTCCACATGTGTAAAGAGCAGGTGACCCTAAAACATGTGAGGACACTGTGAGCCTCAGGAAGTCACAGGAAGAATTCTTCTCCTCTGCATATTCTCTACATATGTGAGCAGACAAAAACATTAGGCTGTTTGTCCATCAGCTTCAACCTGGGCGGGAGGGAGTACACTGGACAGATTCATGTATTTTTCCAATTATGACATGTTATAGTGATATAGCACATGTCGTAAATATTCATCATTTTTTTACATACATTTTGTGGCAGTTTGTGAAGAAGCGTAGAAAAAAAAAAGTTGTAAAATCCAGGAAGTATGAGTGAGCTCTAAAATGAAATCCCTCTATCATCAACTATCATCAGTTCCATCCAAAATTCAAGGACAGTTTATGCACGAGGAAGACATTTTCTTACAGTTTAAACATTGATAACAAAATAGAGGCGTCATTTATATTTTATACTAACTCTTGTGTAATTTAGGCAGGCTGTGACAAGGGATGCACCAATACTGATACTGGCACAACACAGAAAAAAATGACTGGATTACATATCGGATCCATGATGTTGGTTCAGCCGATATCCTGGTTGGGGTTTTAATAGAACGTAATGAGACTATTTACTAGGGCTGGGAATCACTGGCTCCCTCACGATTCTATGCAATATACACGATGGTTCTCGATACGATATCACAAAATAGCGATACGTGTGATAATCAATATATTTCACATGATACTCTGTGATATATTGCAATTTATTTTAAGAACCATACACATTTTAGCATCAATATTTCTTTGTTAAACCACTACTTGTGCAAAGTTGATATGAATACCTTTTTTTAATAATCAAAAGAAGTGAATATGTTGTGTTAAAGTTTCCTCCCACTAAATAAACAACAAAGACCACCTACTATTTACATGATTTTGTCAATGTCTTATAAGATTTTAACTTATTCATACAAAGCTATTCAGTAGTGATTTAAAGGATAAATAACAGTGATATAACACAATTAGATCTCTGGTGTAGTAAGTTAACTGTTTTATTTTTAAGTTAATAAGTGTCGTATTCCATCCCTATACAGGTATTTGTTAATATTGGGTATCAATAAATACTTTAAGTAGGGGTGTAACAATAACTGAAATATTGTGAAATCGTATCATCAAAGTTCTCACAATAAGATCTTGGGCCATCACAATATATTGAATTACAAGAGTCTTTGCTTAAATGAAGAGCTATGGTGCGGCAATAGCTAAAACAAACAGAGCGAAGTACATAGACCATGATCTTTTGCTCCATTTCAGTGTAGACTACAAGAAGAAATAACAGTTCTAAGCACTTTTAAGTTGTCATTCTTTGGATTAAGTCTTGTCAAGGCATTTTAAGAGGAAAAAGTAGTATATTCACAGTTTTGCTAGCCTCCACAAAATATCACAATAAATATCATACCATGAGATAGATTTAGATATTGTTACATCCCTAACTGTGAGCTTTCCCACAATATCGCAGTAAATATTGTACCGTGAGGGTCATACCATGATGATATCGCATTGTGAGACTTGGATATCGGTACCTCTAACTTTAAGTCAAAGTATCAGAATTGAAAAAGCTGGATCAGTGTATCCCTAGTTTTGATTAACATTATGTAGGCTATGTCAAATTTGCTGTCCATGTTCAACCAAAAGTACAAAACTAGAAAAGACTGTTCAAGATTTTAGTCAAGTCTTAAATATAATATGTATGATGTAATATATATAATAAATATATGATGTATAATGATGAGAAGTGAGTAGTCTGATCTGGCATATGCACTTTAAACACACACGGTTAGTAAGGTATTTACTGGGGCAGCATATTGTATAGTATAGTGGTATATGTATTTGTATGAAAATCTAATAGCTGAATGGGCGTGTATAATATTTGGGGCTGTAGTATCGCCAAGACTTCACAGTCATGACTTGGTTATTGAAAAAATGCAATGCATGCATAATTGTTGCCAAAATGAATTCTTTTCAAAGACATCTTGAAAAGTTTGTCTCGAAATTGCACAAGTGATGCTAAAATTAAAAAATTTGAACAACTGCAGATCATATAAGTACAAGCATGTGGTTTGGGGCAGCATTCTCTGAGAATTGGACATTGGAGAAAGAAATTTGGCAATTTTTGCATTGTTTACATTTAAGGATAAAGTATTGAAAATGTTGTTTTTAATAAGATAAAATCAAACAAAATCAAAAATTCTGATCGATCAAGTCATGGGAAAAACAAAATCATAATACATTTTTGTCATATTGCCCTACCTTATGCAAACAATGGTTGGATGGTTGCATAACTGTTTTGCCATGTTTGTTAGTAACATTAAAACACCATTTGAATATTTGTAAAGTTACCAGAATATAACTTGATACCACTGACTCACTTCAGATTAAATAATAAATCCAACCTGGCTATTAATGTTGTCACACCACAAAAATGTTGAAAAACTCGATTTCGAGGAATAGACTCAGAACTCAATACTGATTCCGATAACACAATGATAATAACAAAAAAAAAAAAAAAAAGAATGCTTTTGATACATTGCAGTGACATCATGCTGAGGGTGTTCTACATGTATCTCTAAGTAGAAATGTTCAGCAGTTATTATGGAGACACAATGCACATATCTGTCGAAAAAAAAAAAAAAGTAATTTTAAGATACTCTGAAAACTCAAGAAAAACTGCAAAATGCATTTAAACAACACATTTTCAGGAGACTGTGGTTAATACAGGCGTTCATAATCCTGTTTAGGTGTTTGATTTTCAACAAAAATGTGAGCGTGACTAACTGAAAAACTGTAAACTAATGCTTGCTACCTTGTGACTGTAACGTTGTGTGTGACAGACGTGTTTAACACTAAAATGATCCAATCAAGCCAGCTTTTTCTGGTCTGATTATGTTAAAATAAAGATCAGTCTAACTTGAACAGTGCTTCAGACAGAGCAGTGTCTACAGTTAGCCTCACACACCTGTGAATGTTGATATCAGCTGCAAAGGATCAATTCCGGGAAGGTTAATTTTTGTCCTGTGAATTTGACTTTTTTAGTATTGATACTTGGTCAAATAAGTACCTAATATCTGATTTTTGATACTCTCGACAGCCCTAGTTGCCAGTGAGAACCACCAGAATGACGTGCTCTGTTTTGTGTTGTGCTCAGGCCGGATTCTGGACCTGAAGACTGGGACGGTGAAGAAGGAGGGCCAACAGTCGTCCATGAGGATGTGTATGGGCTCACGACGCTCCTTCATCTGCCGCATGAGGTGGGTCACACAGCTACACACACGCACACATTCACTACTTTTACATGCAAAAAGGAAACCTGGATAAGTGGCCTGGTCCAATTTAAAGTGTGTATGATAGATTTTTATGATTTTCTATTTTTGACTTAATTTGGTGGCTTTTTAACTATTGTAAATAAAAATATATATAGTTTGACACCAATAGAAAAGCAATTTGTAAAGAAAAACTGAAAAATTTTCAAAATTACACTAGGGAGAATTCAACAAACTGGAGGTGTTTTCTTATATTTGTATTTGTAATATAATCATTTCTGTGTGCATTAGAAGAGTTTTAGTAGGTAACAGTAACCAGGAAATAACATTTTAAGCCAAAAAAATTGTGAAAACGAGTGTGAATATTTTTGCAAAAATCGTAAAATAATGATCTTAACTGTTTTAGTAAAATGAGAAGTATAACCTGTCAAATGCACTTTAAACTTTTTTTTTTTTTTTCGAAATGCATCTAAATCTGGGAATCTTTGATTGCTGTGTAGTGGATTGCATTTCAAAGATTCTAATGACAAATTTGGAGGAGCCAACATGTACTCGGATAAATGCTACATGTAACAAAACCGACTGATTTACAAGTTGAGCCTTTAAAAAACACCTTATCTCAGATTTTGAATGTAATTTTGTGTGTTGATGAAATAGGTATATATAATCCATTTTAGAACTCTCCTCTACATGCTTTATTTTTGCATTTTTTACAAACTGCCGCTTAACTGACGTGGAACTAAATATAGATAAATATTTACCACAGATACTATCCCATCAGACCAAGAAATAATTCAGAAAACATGAAACTGTCATTTTAACCCATATCTGATTTTGAAACCATGTTGATGATGTAATAATAACAGATTTAGATGATGGGGCCCACACACAGACTGCACACAGGGTCAGCAGCCATGAGCAGGCTGTTGGCTCAGTTCATACTGTGTGTTTGAGCTGTTTGTACTAAGAGAGTCAAACTAACATATAAATAGACAGTGCTGGACAATGCTCAAAGCAGAATAAGCAGAAGTATACCCCGATTTCCATTTGTGAAAATTAAACAGCTGTTAATGACTGACATATGCTGTACCTGACCCGAGTAAATCCAGATATGACATATAAATAAACAAACACCAGACCACGTCATTCTGTGCTTACATTTTTGTGCGGAAATAATCTACTTTGTTGAGATGATTGAGTGTAACAGTAAGTGATAGGTGGAGGTGGTGGAGTGCAGGGTATAAAACCAGAGCCTTGCCAGTTAATTTCATGTTCCTACTAGGGATGGGAGTATTGATATTGAAGTATCGATATATTGATACTGACTTGTGCAAATTTGGGTATCAGTACTGTTATGCAAATATTGATACTAATTAGCATATGCACCTTTTAGGGCTAGGCATCTATTTTAGACATATTAGAGGCATTTCTTCATAGTTTTGATTTAAAAAAGCAGCAGCCTTTTGGACTGACCCATATGTCAGGTGTATGGTGATATAATGGACATATTTGAAGCCCCTTTATATACATGTTTTTTTTTTTTTGTTTTTTTTTTAAATCCCTTCACCCCTAAGGTTAGACCAGTACTTAGCATTGGTATTGAAAAAATGACCCCCTGGAGTACTTGGTATTGTATTGATCAAATCAAAAATGTTGGTATCACCCAAGCCTAGTGCCTTGTCAGTTTATAGCTGTTGTGTCATTTACTAAAACACATTCCTTTGAATGTATAAGAGTCAAATTTCATTTGATATATGTTGGACAGTGGCCATTAGTATATTGGCATGTTGCTACAGTGTGTACCACATATTTGACATGATCTCATGGTCATCAACAGCATGTTATAAGAGGAAGTCTAGTGGTCATTATGCCTTTCAGAAAAGTCTTGGAATTTGTCTTGAAATGCTTAATCCTTGAGCTCAAATGCCGCTTTTACATGCTAATTGTCATTTAAAGTAATATATTAGAGTTTCCACACACTCACTTTGTGGTTTGTGAGGGTTAATGCTAACAGCTATAGGGAAAAATACACCGGCTTAAAAAAAAACTGCCAGACTAGCTTGATGGCGAGTGATTGATGGTATTAGCGTCAAACACTGTATGTATTCATTATGTGTATACTGCGCATCCAACCTCTCTGACACCATCAATCACACAGTCATACTACTACACTGACAAAGGCACGGCAGGTGAAGTGTTTTCTCTTTGCCCAAGGACATAGATCTACCTGCAGTGTGCAGTGCTGCTAGCGGGTTCAAACTATCAGAAAGGTACTGTTAGGGCATTTGAACATCAGATTATACTAGTTAGTGTTGTCACGATAGTAAAATTTCAATTTTGATACAAAGGAATAGATACTGACTCCAATAACACAGTGATATAAAAACAATAGAATGTCAACTTTAAATCATAGTACTTTCTTTTATATGTGGCCTTATATCTATGTAATCCCTCATTCGTCCAGGTAGGTTCCATAGTGGTCCATTGGTCCATAGTCTATTTGGTCTTATATTTGCTCTGATACAGCTCAAGATCCTTCTAAAATTACCAGGAAAGGTTCATTTTTAGTATCAATACCTGCTCAAATTAGTATCTAGTCTTAGTATTGATTAGTATCTGATTTTCAATACTTTTGACAACTATTCTGCTCATGAATATGGTGGTGTTGACTTGAAAGCGTTGAGAGCAGCATGGGCAGGTGATGTCAGGTACTCAGAGTGACAGGTGCATTGTTCCCTCTTCAGAGTGCTGTCATTAGTCGCACAGGGAGCGCTGGTACTGCTACAGGACTGTGGACCGCTGGGTCTGTCAAATGCACCTCTGTGGGCAGCGATCAGGAGAACAGAGGAAACCAATGGCAATGAAAGTGTGTCTCAACCATAAAACAGTGGCTGTCTAAGTGTGGTGAATGGGCTGCTTCTCGTGGCACTCAAGGTCCTCTGCATTTCTTGTATTAAAAGGCACTGTACCTGAGATGTACCGTCTGAAAAACAAGAAAAAACAGAACTAATTCATTTTAAACTATTTGCGGTGGTCCAAAATTATTCCTTACTTGCCTAATGTGTTCCAAGCATCCTGATTATTCACCATGATGAGTTTGTGAGAGCTTTTCATAACTTTCAGAGGATGAGGATACAGTAAAGTTAACAAACATTAGCAGGCTATCGGCATACTTCCTGTTTCGCAGGGAGAACACAATGCTTTATAATTAGATGCAGACAGCAGACATTGGTCTTATTTTGACTCTCAAGAACTGTTTTTTCAATATATCTGTACTGAGACTGAACACATTTTACTTTATTATTGTCTTGATTTGGGATTTTTGTTGTTCAGAACTGTGATATTTATGTTTCTCAAACTGTAATACTTGTCTGGTTTAGCCCTAATTTTAGGCCAGTTTAAAATCCGGTTGCACTCACACAGCCAATATTATCATGTTACTTGGTGTGACATGAGAACCGCTTGGACCTGGACATTCTTTAACCAAAATTTAAGTGTGTGAAAACCTTTAGCACCAATTAGATGTGTGGCCAGCACATTCTACTAGTATATCTATATCTCTGGAACACAAGCCATTTCCTCCACCTTCCCTATAGGTTCTGCTTCACTGTGATTGTAGTGGTCAGGATATTATTACATTAGATTTTCATTAAAAATAATTGATATTGTGACATTTCCTCTGACGGCCCTGCTGCTGACCTGCTGGTGGACGCACATTTATCCAGCAATGAGAGATGGCAGCCCTCCCTGGAGCTGTGGTGATTTGTGAAAAACAGGAAACTTTCGAATTGAAAACACACCGATTTGGCTGAGCTGAGCTTGAGTCCAGATACTCAGAACCAGACCAGAAGATGGAAATATGTAAAGCAACATTCTCCGGGCATAAAACATATTGGGGTGGTTTATTTAAGTAATTATTCATAAAGTTACTTGTGTTGTCATGATGCTAAAATTTCAAACATGATTTCCTTGGAATATGACTATGACTTCATACTTGGTACTGATTCCAATGCCATGATCATAATGAAAAAAAACTCTTTATTTAGACAATCAAATGTCATTTTCAATATTAAATCATAGTACTTATTTTAGTATTGATACATTCTCATATCTGCTTTTGATAATAGTTTTAGTATCAATTGTCTAATTTGATTTTGATTTTTATACTTCTGACAACCCTGATATTTGCATCAGTCGCGCTTCCTATTACAACCAGACGTTAACGTTACTGGATCGGTTAATGGAACTCAAATCAGCCTTGTCTGATGGAGATATGAAACGCAACATTTCTCTCCAAAAAATATTGTGGCTGCAGTGTTTGGCTCAGTGGCAGGGAAGTGAACTTCTAACTTCCTCATTAACAACATTTAGTTTTTTCTTATTTTTCATATTTCTTATTTACTGTTCCATTTGTTTGGTCTCAAGTAACCTGCTGCATGCTATTGTATATGATGATGATGATGATGATGATTATGATGATTATTATTATTATTGATGATAATAATAAGGACAAGCCTCATTACTGTCACCAGTGGAGTATGTGTCCACTGCAAATATGTAAATGATGAATAAAGGTCATTGAGGCTATTGAGAAAAATATACTAAGATCTAAGAACCGAGACAAGAGGGCGTACTCCTTATCACACACCTGGCATTGCTGACACAATGTCTGACTGTAGGGGGCGCAAGCTTCTCCCACTGAAAAACTACTTAAAACAGCTTTTACGTGCCACGGTTCAAAACAGAATGAACCTTCACCGAAGATTTATGGATCCAATTTCCAGTATAATTTTACAGAGAGGCTGTCCCATATTTTCAGCGTGATTTGTAGTGTGTACCTGCTGTCGACAGATGTAAGGAATGGGGCAGTTGATTAAAAAAGGAGAGAGAGAACAAATTTATTAAGTCTACAATAGAAAAGCGCTTACCAGAAAAAAGAATCTTGTGTTAAATGTTTGCCATAGTGCTAGATTGCAGTAACTTGTAACTGAGATGTCTGAGATGTGTCGCTTTGGCCTGGGCTGGGGTAAAGATAAGGTAATGTGATGTTTTTTGTAAATTTACAGGTTGTATAATAGGGTTAGTTCAGAAGTGTTATCCCCCCATTATACGTCAGCCTGTCTCACATGTATTTCTGGTAAGGTAAGATAAACTTCATTGTCCCTGTAGAAAGAAAATTCATACTTCAGTGCAAGAAGGATTCGAGTTCAGGCAATTCTGTGCGGAGTTTGCGTGTTCTCCCTGTGTCTGGGTGGATTTCCCCTGTCAACTCAAAACATGCCCCATGAGTAAAATCCTCCAGCTAAGGTCCTGATCAAGACTAGCACAAGATGTAGAGATAGGCCCTTGAGCGTTGTAGGACAATAGCTCACTGCTTCTGACAGGTTACTGAAGCTCCACTTGTTGAGAGATGGGTCATATATAGAGACTGAATTTCCTTCATTGAGTGCTAAGTATACTTTACAGAGGGAGTATTATGCAAAATAGACTTTTTGAAGATTTCTATCATGCTATAACTTGTTCCTTCATCAAAATCAGATGTTTTAGATGTAATCCATGCATGTTTGAGTACCGTATTTTTCGGACTATAAGTTGCATTTTTTTTCATGGTTTGGGTGTTTCCTGCAACTTATACTCCGGTGTGACTTACATATTAAAATTTTCACACTGGCAGCCACGAGAGGGTGCCCTAGGCTTGTGTGTCAGTATCTAGTACTACTATTACCTCTGTACCACTGTCACTTCGCACTCTACTGCACATGCCTATGTAGAAAAATCCTCTGTCTTGCCCCAAATAGTGAAATATGCAGCCAAAAATGGTAATCGAGCAGCGAGAAACTGAGGGACTCATGGAAAGCGGGGGATGGAAAACACAGCTTCACGGTAACCAGGCAAGTACACCATGCAACTTTCCTGGAAGTCACTGGATGAATCGACAAAGCCTGAACTTCAGTGATAACCGAAACCATCCTGTCAGGATTCAGAAACCCTAACCTAACCCTAACTGGAACTGATGCTGAGTCTAACGATAGCAACACAGAAGAGGAAGCAATGCTCCGTTTACATCATGGATCTATGGTTTATCTCCAGAGCTTGCACAGAAATGACACGGAGAATGAAGAATTCAATGGATTTAGTGATTTGAAGTGAGATCGTGAGTTTGGTAAACTTGTTATGTTCTGTTGTCTATGCTATAATTATCTTCATAACTGTTCATATGTGACGTTAACATATTAAGGCATATTCAGCCTGTTGTTCTCTGTTGTGTTGTTATTACTGTAACTTGCCTTTCAAGATTAAATGTCGGTTCCTGGTCTCTGATTTTATAAAATACATTTCCCCAAACAGTGCAACTTATAGTCCAGTGCGACTTATAGTCCGGAAAATACAGTAATGTAGTGATCTCTCCCGGGCCGTATTTGAACCCTCCTTGCGGTTAGCTGTACGATTCTGTCCAAAGCTCAGCCTCCAAGCCTAGCTCACCCAGGCTCCCGCAGAGCAATTTTCCATCAATATACAGAAACATGATACAAAACAATAAACTACAACTTCACAATCCTGTATCAGGGTGCAGCAGTTTTTTGCACGCTGCTGTGATAGCGCTCTGCAGGGGCTGAGAATGACTTAACACAGTAAAAAGAGGAGAGATTCAGGGCAAATATCGCATTTTCAAAACAATAATAGGTAACATGGTGATCTAAAAATGTAAAAAAATGTGTAAGAAATTAATACCCTCTGAACCTTAGAGGGACTGTCCGGAATTTTGGACACAGGACCTCATTTGCTAGTTAGCCAGAGTGTATTTGCAGAGATTGCTGGTGCTAGGCTAGTGCATGTAAATGGCCAAAGTTATCCTGTCACTAAAAACAGTCTTACCCACTCCACAAAACACCCGAGTCAAATCTATTATTACTGTAGACTAACGATGTGAATGTCTGTGTCGATAGAATAATGTTTGAAATAAAACTAACCTTGCATCGCAAAAAATTGTCGCATGTTGAGGGACTATTTTCTCAGCAGTGGAATTTTACTTTGCCGGTAAGATAGGTGCTAGGTGATGTCAGTCCATCGCTGCCAAGCTTTTCTATCAGGAAGTACAACTCACTGCTGCTGCTCAGACATAAATCCTTCAAATGCAAGGTTGGCTTTACTTGCATTTGAAGACATTCACATCGACAGTCTAGCATAATAATAGATTTGCTTCAGGTGTTTTGTGGAGTGGGTAAGACTGTTTTTAGTGGCAGAATAACTATGACCATTGACATGCACTGGCCTGACCTCTTCAAATACAAGGACTGGATGGAATATTTAAAAAAGTGTCTCCACACGTCTCCAACACTCCCTTTAACATGTAAACTTTGCACAGAAAGTCCTTGTTTTAAATGGGAATTTAACCAAGGACCGTTGCTTAGTGTCACAATACATGCAGGTTTCGGTACATCTAATCTATATATCTACCCTCTTAAAAAAAAAAAAAAGTCTGTAAGATATCCCTCTACCTGCTCAGTTATGAGAGAATATTTGTTTATCAGATCAGACTCAGCCTCCATCGCTCCAGCGTCGACACAGGTAGAGACTTAACCCCCTGCGTGGTGAGTACAGGACCCAAGCATGGAGGAGCTGTCACCCAGACCTCCGTATCTTACCACAATGTGTTCAGCTGTTTGGAATGTACCCGACTCTGCTTGTGCTGGTCCTATTTTAAGGCTTTGCATAATTCAAACAACATGGCCGTCTGCCGCTGTGACTCGCTGAGGAAAGCTGGTGCTGGAGCTTATTGGAAACATGCAGGCTTATGTAAGGGCCGTGCACGCGACTGCAAAACAACCTCTGTGATGCAAATGAACCTGCGTGTGTTATCCCCCTGACCTCTGCCCATAAGCCACATTCCGTGCGTTTTTGCGCATAATGATGAGATGATGAGAATGATAAGATGGATGAGTTAAAGATGTTACCTTGGACTGGCTGACAGAATCCAGGAAGTGTCGCGACTGGACTAAAAATGTGTTTTGTGTTATATTGAAGCATCTGTTCATTGGTCGGTGCAAGATAGTATGAGATAGGTAAGGGACGGGCGGCTGTCACTTGTCATGAGAAGTGATGGAGACAAGTTAATTAAACATCCTAATTTGACATGTTAGCATGTTGTTACCTCATCAAAACAGACCTGGAGTTGTGTTTTGTTTCAGTCATATATGTTTGAGAAACCTTTTATTGTTAGTTTGTGTCTACATCTCCAAAGCTCATAATGCTCTATTTCACCTTGTGATGTCATGACGCTGTTATTTTCAAATTAACAGCTAGCTTTTGACTTTAGTTAAGTAGAGATTGGCAGTTCCAGGGCTGAAATCATCCAAATGATTCCAGTGACACATGACAAGGTAGAACAGTGTCTTCTATCTGAGAGAAGAACTCAACCTAAATATGCAGGGTTTGTGTGTTGTGTGGTACAGGTGTAAATGAAACAAAACACAACTCCAAGTATGTTTTTGATGAGGAAACAACATTATAATGGAACATAGTATAATATAGGCCCTTTAAGGTTATGATACTGGTTATGGTTAATTTTAGGAAAATAGTTAAACTTTGGGTTAGATAAGGTGTACTGTGTAACTTTTCTGGTTTTAGATCCATGGAAAAGTTATTGCTTTTCCTGAAATGTTGGTTTGTTTGGCATTACACTTGTGATGAACATTGTGACATTGTTTAAATTACAGGTGTTTTTAATGTTCATAAATACCTTGAAAAACAGGGTCATCTCACTACAGATCTGACCGGTACTTTGGCCTGATCTGTCATCTGCTGTTTCCAAAATTTGATGATTACTGTATAACATTCAGCAAACACATGCATTCTTACTATGAGTGGGGGCGCCTCTCCATAGATATGATCTGTGACTTTGGCTGGTGCGCTTGTTTATTATCACTTGTTTTAAGTCATTGCCATATGTTAGTGTGATCTCGCCTAGCACTTGATTTAGTTCTGCTTACTTCTCTTTTGGTTCAGTCTTGTTCACATACACTGTGCAACCTTTGGGATGGAAATTAGCCTTTGGCTATAATTCATGTGTTTATATTCATGTTGTATCATGTCCATCCATGCACTGTCCCAGTCAAATAAATAAATACATAAATTTACCTCAAACATGCACCATGAGCCACGTGAGAGGCCATCAGATGATCGTCGTACTTATTTCCATGACAACACACTTCAAGTGGACAGACAGAGACCCATAAATATGCAAGTACACGCTCATTGGTGCTAAACATGGTGGTCTTTCACCTGAGGCAAAACACAATGTGAAAGCTGTACGTGCTGATGACAGCAGAAAAGAGTGTCTCACTTAAGATGATGCAAAATGCCAGAGAAACATGTTAAACAGTAGCTCTGCAGTGCCCATTCATACAAATACATGATCCCAGAGCTTTTTTGTCCAATTCTATGCACTGTTATGGCCTGAGGTCAGCTGCTTTCACACTGCACTCTCTCCGCTCCAAAGTGCGAGTGGAGCTACTCTGAGACCACCTGTTTGAAACGCTTTCCAAGCTTTTAATGTGAATCAGGATGTGTTTGTCATGTTCACATTGGCCCAAGCACTGCTCTTGGAGTGAATGCTCTTTTACATCAACCAAACATGTGGCAGTGTGAAGACAACATCAAAGTGGTAATAATTGTCTTCTCTTTGGGTGTGTGTGTCTGTGTGTGTACAGGTGTGGCAGCGCTCCTCTGGACCACATCTCTCTGAACCGCCTCTCCAACATGAGGAAACGATACAGGTACGGTACACTATCTCTCACTGACTGAGCCAGTGCAAACTATAAGAGCATATATGCATATACTGTGCATATGGTACTACAGTGGAGAGCAAAACAAGCTGAACATATCAGTATGGAGTAGTATGCAGTGCCACAATAATATAAATATTATATCGACACCATCCTATAATAATGGCCACCAGAGTTTTTTGCATGAATCAGAGCAGCGTCCACCTCTGGTACAAATTTGACTTAGACCATTTTATTGAAATGGCTACATTTGTTATAAATATCAACACTGTCATAAAATAATGGCCTAGTCATTTAGTGTCACATGGGCCATACAAAAATATGTCCTGTTCAAAATGACTGAAGTCGCAAGCATTAATATATCATTTCTTATCTGTTACTATTACTATTATCTTTCTGTATGAAAACATAATCACATGTTGTACTGTTTCCTATTGGTACAGTTTTTTTGTGCTTCCTCAAAAATGGAGGAAAATGACTTAGGCCATTATTTTAGGAGGGCATCAGTTTTATTGATTGTCCCTCTGTTTTGAAGAGTTCAATTCCAGATATCTCTGTTTTGAAAAATTATCAGAAAGTATTATCAGTGAATACGATTTCTAGTGGCATTAATCAAAGAGGGGTAGAATATTATTTGAAACTGAGACTTTGAGACTTTTTCAAATGGCACTTATCTGTTTTTACAAATTAACTCTTATTTTTAATGCATGGCCCTGGGTGAAAACAGTTTGGATACCTAAACAAGAGCATAAATGCATGTAAAAGGAAATATGTCTTTAATTTGGTAAACATTTCACATGCTGATATCCTGTTGTCCCAATGTTACATGGCCCTGAGTTTATGAACTGAGCAAAGAGACATCATAATAATAAGGTCATAATAGTTTTAAAACTTGCCCTCAAGTCAAGATTACTGTTACTTAAAAATAACATTACTTAAGTGTCCATATCAATATATCATTCAGGTCTTATTCCACAGTATGGCATTAAAATGATCTTGCTTCATTTAAATGTCCTATATTGCGCAAAATTGACTCGTGAACTTTATGTTAAAATATTACAACACTGTTACCTCATCAAAAACATACCTGGAGTTGTGTTTAGTTTCATTCACACATCGTTCGGTAATCCTGGTCTACAAATATAAAGCTCAAAATGCACTGTTCCACCTTGTGATGTAATGAAGCGGTAGTTTTCAAGTTACCGTTTACCTTTTATTTGGTAGATATTAGTGATATTAGGGCTGAAATTATGGAGCATTTTCTGCATGGGAAAATAACTCAGCCTAAATATACAAGGTTTGTGTGTTAAACATGTGTGAATGAAACAAAACACAACTCTAGGTATATTTGCGATGAGGAAACAACATTATAACCTAGACCCAAAAATAACATACTATGGGCCCTATAATGATGGGTGTTTAAAAGTCATAATACAGTAGTTTTCTAGTAATGCATTTTGAATTGATTGGCTATTGTGTGTTACATTTGGTGCAGTACAATACTCCAAAATAATATTACCCAGCTCTAATCAGGGCAGTCCTATGTGATGTCACCAACTTCTAGAAGTTGCAGAGGCCACTGAGGGCAGCACAAACTTAGATTTAGGTGCTTTTTTTTTTTTACCTAGTTACTAAATAGGCAAAAAAAACACTAGGAACAGTAGATACTGCTATTAAACACCATATACACAATTTAGTGAGGAAAAAGGGAATTTAGTGTTTAGATCCACTTTAAGGATGATGTGATACAATTACTTATGGTAGTCCAGATTACTCAAGTACAAGTAGTAGTAAAAAATACCCACCTCTGTATATTTTGAGTTCTGTTCCCCTTATCACACTGCATTCTTATAGTAGTTCTTCTCAGCCAACAACAACTCTTCTACCATGTTTTCCCTCAGATATTGAAAAGCACTGGCTCTCATGTTGTTAGAGGGAACCATGTTTTTTGACTCGTGCTTTGTTTGTGTGGGACAGGAACGGGCTGGGACCATCCAAAGAGGGAGAGGCGCAGTACTCGGTGGTCCACTGCACAGGATACATCAAAGCCTGGCCCCCAGCAGGTAACACAGGCCCCTGGGTGTGAAGAGGGAGAGAAGATTCGAGATGGTTTATTTTGCAGGACCCAGGACTGAGCTAGGACATAGTATGCAAAATAGGCCAGAAGTATCATAATATTCTCCACAAACACCAAATCATCCTTTCTTATTCTGCAAAAAAGCTGCTAACCCTGTAGTTTAGATCTGTACAAACATGCTCTCAAATGTGATTTTTGGATTAGTTTGTCAGTTCATATTTTTAATTTAATCTTTGAACAGAATCCTATTATTAAAGCATTAATTGCAAAGTTAATCGCAATGGCAAAGCTTGAAAGAAAAATTGTAATGAGATATTTTTTTCCCAAATCATGCAAACTCATGCAAAATCAACTTTTAAGAGCATTTTTTTCCATGTTATATTGGTTCTCTCTTCTCATTTTTGCACTTGAAGTTATATTTAGACTGAATCATGCATGTTTCTTTCATCTTTATTCTCCTGCATTCAAGAAGCCATTCCTCCAAAAATCCACGTTGCGTCCAACCCTCCCATACCCACCCGCTGCTTTGTAGTTTGATTTTTTTATTTATTTTTTCATAAATAAAGATGCATGTACGATTCAGCATGCTGCGTAGCCTTTTTGGCACAAAAGAAGAAAATCATAATCTCAAGGGAGACATATTATGCTAAATTAACTTTGGTTATCAACACTGTTATAACCTTGATTCATCATTAAAGCCGAGGTTTTAAGCTAAATCGAATTTTTAGAGCTTTCTACCATGTTACAACATTGTTCCTTCATCAAAAACATGCCTGAAGAGGTTTTTTATGTCATCCACGAATGAGTAATCTTGCTATCTCTCCCAGGTCCTATTCAAACCCTCCTTACGGTTAGCAGACTTAACCCACATGCCCACAAGCCCACAAGCCCATGCTCATGTGCTTTTATTTTCCATAAATATACAAAAGAATGCAACAAAATAACACACTACAACTTCACAAACCTGATGCAAAATGCCATAGTTTCATTGGTGAAATGCACACCGGTTGCGTTGTGATAGCGCTTTGAAGGGGAGTGACTTCGCAAAGGGAGAGTGTCACAAACGAAACTGAAACTTATTGAACAATATGTTGTTTTTGGCAAATATCGCATTTTCAAAACAGATACAAGGTAACATGGTCATCTAAATATGTAAAAAAAATTCTATAGATTAGAATTTTATAAAATGTGAAAACTGATGCAAGTAATACAAGGTTTACAGGTAATACAGGTTACAAACTGTACATGTAGAGACTTGCCAAAAGGTAATCATGACTCAACTGCCTTGACTCAAACTATATTTTAATGACATGGAAATGTGTGAAAGTTGACACTTGGACTCATATCCTGTTGACTTGAGTGAAGCTTGGATTGCACTTCTTCTCAGTCAGTGTTTCGCTCCTTTCTTCAAACTGATTGAGCCATGGGTGCTGTCTGTTTCTTGTGCCCCTTGTTCCTTTGTCCTGGATGGTCAGACGTGATGGTCAGTGAATAGCAGTAATGACCGTTCACTTGAGCTCCCCTCCATGCTCAGAGTAAGCATGTGGTCAGTGAATAGAGCTAAATGAACAGTCACCTGATTGTGTCACTGAGAGTGTGACCCATGTGGAGAGCAGGGCTGTGGTTCTTTGGCCACTCTAAAGGGCAAAACATGGAAACAGGCAGGCTCCACAGAGCATGGGGCTGTTGTGAAAGCTCCTGTTGTGCTCTCTATTTAGTCATGAACATTTCAGATCTTTAATGGGAGCCAATTTTGTGTATTTTATTCAAAATGTATAAGATTACAAATTAAGAATTGTACTTATTTTATATTTTCAGAACAAAAAGTGACAAACCAAAAGCAGCAAAAGAGCCACCACCATTAAAGTGTCTGAATTAGGATATTTTATGATCTATTTTATAATGTTGTTTCCTCATCAAACATACCTGGAGTTTCATTTTGTTTCATTCACACGTTTAACACAAATCCACCACCACTGTTCCACTGTTCCACCTTGTGATGCCATGTGGTAATACAGGGAGTGTTCCACTGTGTTTTTTAAACTCCATACATGTTCACTAGAATCATCTGGATTAACTCTACTGAACTAAAGGTAAAAGGCTTGAAGAGGTAACAATACTATAGCAAGGCTTGTGTAACATATGATCTTTACAACACATGCTTATAGAATTGTATTGGATATGGCATTCTTTATTCAAATGTTCAAATGGTGTTTCTACATCAATTTAAAATAATATATTCAAGCTCAAGTAATATTCTGCTTCCTTCACTCTCTCTCCTTACCTCACTCCATCCTTTGCAGGTATGACCATTCCAGACGAGGACACAGAGGCGGGCCAGGGCGGAAAGTACTGTCTGGTGGCCATCGGGCGTCTGCAGGTCAGTTCTGTGCTCGGTCTCTGCCATGTACTGTGTTCACTGTTAGGGTTGTCAAAAGAATTGAAAATCAGTTATTAATTGATGCTAAAACTAGTATCAAAACTACATATTCATTTTAGCAATTCTCAAAACTAAAGAACTCATATTCATAGAACAGAAATTTACCTTTCCAGAATAGCCTTAGAATGATCTTAAGCTATATCCATAAACTGCATAAAGAAGAAAAGAAAAAAGAAAAAAACAAAATGCCAAGACTCAGAGCAGTGAAGTCAATTGAGCCAGAAGTGCCCCTGTGTTCACTTCGCGGCAGTTAGGGGGGTAGCTATGTCCATTTATATACAATCAATCAATCAATCAATCAAACTTTATTTATATAGCACTTTTCATACATTTGAAATGTAGTACAAAGTTCTTCACATGCAATAGAAAAATTACAATGATTAAAAATAACAGCAACCCCACCCCCATGGTTCCATATGTACAGCAAAAACACAGTGAAATTGTATAAATGCAGGAGCTGCCAACTAATATATGCCCATGGACCACTAACAAACCTACCTGGACAACAATGACTGAAACCACATAACATAATATAAAAGAAAGTACTACAGCTTAAAGTTGCACTGTGTAATTTTTGTGGCAGAGGGTCTGTCATCTGTTGGAGATATTGTCTGGAATGTTCCACAGTATGGCATTACACTTATTTATTTCTACAGCAGGGATCTCCAACCTCTAGCTCGGGAACTATCAGTAGCTCTCCAAGGGATTTCAGAATTACACCATTGTACTGAATAATAAAAATCTGGTTAATTACATGCCTATTATGATTGTAAATGTATAATTTCGATCTTTGTGCACTAATAAATGGACAATGGTTTATGTTTTGTAGGCATCTAACTGTACCCAAAGACTTGCTCTCTTTCTTCGTCTCAATTTCTTGCGACCCCTAAAATTAGTAGCTCTCTGGCATTTTAGTTTTGTAAAAGTAGCTGACCGAACGAAAACGGTTGGAGACCCCTGCTCTATGGAGACAGCAGGTGACCACAGTGCCAAGTCACATATCAGATCTGTGGACAGGCAAGCTCACTCATAGTAAGAACGTAAGTTTTTATGTCAATAACAACCCATGTTATTGAGTAAATGCAAGATGGATACGTTTAATGCCATACTGGGACATTCCCAACAAAACAGTAACTTCTCCATGGAGACACTTGGGTAGCTGACCCTCCACCAGAAAAGTTACCACAGTGCACCTTTAATATTGAATTGCTTGTTGTTGTTTTTTTCATTGTGATACCGTAATCAGTATTGAGTATCGAGTTTATTCCTTAGTATCGAAATCAAGTTTGAGTAGTAGTACTTTAGTCATAACAACACTACTCACTGCTCAAATCTCCACTCTCTTCAGTCAGTTGCCGCAGCTAGACTCTCATGAGAGGCTTAGCTAACAGTCTGCTATCACTCTGCCCCATGACTGCTCCACTGCTCATCCACAACACTGAGGTTTTCACTGGCCGGTTTGATGTGGCTTTGGCCTTAGTCTGGATTGATTTAGAGCTGTGCTGATGCATCTCTGCTCAGCCTTTGAACACATCGAGTCTGCCAGTGCTACGTCGACTTCAGCTGTCACTAAAACAATATGTAATTACACGCATAATTTGAAACATAAATTAATCTTATCAAAATAAGTCACTGGCTGTATGAATGCATTCAGTTGCGTCTGAAATTGAATGTTTCTAATGAATCCTGGAGGCGCTTTAATGATTTTGTGTTTGCCTCTGTTATGGCCCATCAACGTAAAATGTTGTGAATAGAATAAATAATAAAAGTCATCATTAAAATATAAATAAGCTCAATAAGGTTTTGAGAATACTGCTTAAAGGCAATGCAAAAATGACTTATTAAAAGAGAGGCAGGAGAAGAAATGTTGCTGTTCATGTGCTTTTATCAGAAACCATATAATTTTATGTTAAAGGTGCACTGTGTAACTTTTCTCTACATTACATTTATTCAGTTACAGGTGGTTTACTTGGTCGACCATACCTAGAAAAATTGGGTTGTCTCTCCACAGATCTGAAATTTGACTTTGTCTGGTTTGGTCTCCATGAAGATAAAAGGTTTAATGCCATACTGTGAAACATTCCAGACAAAGCAATAACATCTCCATGAAGAAAAGCATTTGACAGACCCTGCATCAGAAAAGTTACATAGTACACCTTTAAAGAACACACGTTATGCAAAATTGACATTGTTGACCTTTAAATTACGTTATACTGTTGCTCCTGAGCAAAAACTTACCTGGACTTGTGTCTTGTAATCCGCTAAACCAAAGTCATTCACGTATTGCCTGTTATTTCTGTCATAGATAAAAATCTGGACTTCTCCTAGACAGTTTATAAACCCATAAACCATCAATGGACTCATTCTGAGGTCAAATTGTATTCACAACAAACACATGACTCTATTAGCATAGCATTTGCTGTCACAAGGAATTCAGTTGTTTATTTTCTAAACAAGCCTCATCGGAAACGGAGGTGAAGTTCAGGAAGTATAAATTCCAAATGTTAGAAACTGTGAAAAACATATCCCGAGGTGATCAAATGCATGTTTAAAAGAGAAATAAAACCACAAATAGGTATAATATGTGTTTTTATAAGTGTTTTTTAGTTTCAGGTGCACTGCAAAATCTACTGGGTGCCATCTGCTTGTCTCCATTATTGCTTTGGGTGCAATGTTATCGTTGTATGACATTAAACTTATCTATCTTCAAAATGACATAAAAAGAAGTTACAGGACAGATCTGTGCTCACAGTAAGATGTATCCTTATAAGATAGATAGCCTGTACTGAAAAAATCAAATATAATAAATATTTGCTTTTCCTTCCAAGGATTCCCTGTATTAAACTTATCTATCTTGCCTTTATTCCATTAGAGATGTTCTTCAAACCTTACTGTGAGATTTGTCACCTCTCCACAGATCTGACCTGATGTCATCACCTGCTTGTCTGTATTGATAGACTGATTTAGGCCCTGTCCACACTAGTACGTATTCGAATCGTTGTTGTTGCGGATGCAGTGTTCGTCCACACTAATCCAATTGAAAACAGCTCCAGAGATGGGAACGATCTGGTGCCGCCAGCTCCCACGAATTCATCTGAGTACAGATCTGATCTGACACTGTGTGGACACCTGAAAATGCTGATACGCTGATGTAGTTCTATGCTAGAGCCCGACCGATATGGATTTTGTTGTGGCCGATATGAAACCGATATAATGCGAGTTGGAGCTGCCGATATATTTAGTGATGTAAAAATTCACTGTAAATCTTGAATTGTTTTAAAAACTTAGGTTTGGCTCTAGTGGATTCTAAATTGGGTTTATTTAGGCAACATTTATTGTTATTCTGACTCTTTATGTCATATTTACATAAAGTATATTGGCCTAATGGCATTTTTGCATCACATTCTAGCTACTAGTGATGGGGATTCCAGTTTTTTGTTGTTTTTTTTGGAGAACCGGCTCTTTTGGCTCGGCTCACTAAAGCAGCTGGCTCTTTTGGCTCCAAAGCGACTCTTGAGATTGTTTTGTTGCAAACAGGACTAAACCAAAACTGAACCAGGACTGAAAAAGGACTAAACCAGGACTAAAACAGATTTAAACCATGTGTAAAACAGGACTAAACCAGAACTAAACCAGGACTGAGTGTCGGGACTCGGTCTCTCCCTCACTCGAGCCCAAGATTAGTCCTGGTTTATTCATTTTATGCTGAACTGCAGCCAAATATGCACTTTTTTTATCCTATGCACATGCAGATTTCTGAAAGTTTCGTTTTCAGCCGCTGCTGCTGTCAACCTACGGGTCTACAAGTGGCTTGAAGAGAAAAAGTGAGAAAAAGAGAAAACACGGCTCCCAATAAGAAACATGCTCCCGTTGTTCGCTTCAAAGAGCCGGATCTAAGAGCCACTTCGATCGCGACCGACCCATAACTCCTAGCTAGTAAATAAACTAGCGCTATTAGCCTTTAGCCGTAAAAACGTGCGCGCCGCCACATATTAGCCACATATTAGGACATTTATCTGTCTGTAAATTGGATTAAATGAACATAATGTAGAGAGTCTAAGCTTTATAATGAGGTATAACATGCCCACGTGAAATATCGGCCCATATCAGCAAGCATATCGGCCGATAGCCGATATGTCTCCAGGTGCCCATATCGGCCAATAATATCGGACAGCCGATATATTGGTCGGGCTCTATTCTATGCACCAAGAAGTAGCTAATTCACTGCCAAAACGCTAAGAGGCTAGCATATATTCATATACACGGTCTATGCGTATGACCTGCAGACGTATAATCTCTGAAAAGTTCCACATGAACCATCTCCAACACGACAGAAGCACAGAACAGACTCACAATTAGCAGAACATCCCACTGTCACAGACAGAACACATTTAGTCCAACAGAAGCTGAACTGCATCAGCACTCAATAGTGAGCTGTTTTTTGAGCGCTTAGTTTATGTAAATTAGCCATGTGGTTTTAAGTTTAATTTCTGTAAAATGTAAACAAATATGCTCAAAGCTGTGTGGATAAGGAAGGCTTGTGGACACAGAAACCAATACGGTGATACGTGGATTCGTTTCAGTGTAAACAAGGTCTTAATCACATACAGTGGAACATTCTATGCATAGTAATAATATCTCCAAGGAGACAAGCAGGTGGCTTATGTTGCAAGTATTTTATTGTAGTCCCTGAATACAGAATTTGAAATTTATTGATAAACACTCCACTCAAAAGTTACCTAATACAAAACATATTTATTGAATGTCAGATCTTTTTGTGCAGGTCTTGCCTAACCAGTCTGTTTGTGTGTGCCCAGGTGACCAGCTCTCCCGTCTCCATGGACATGAACGGCCTGTCCGTGCCCACTGAGTTCTTGTCCAGGCACAACTCAGATGGTATCATCACGTTTGTGGACCCGCGCTGCATCAATGTTATTGGGTACCAGCCCCAGGTCAGCCCCCCACTCAAACCTACACTCTCCATTAGCCCTCTGCACTCTCCCCTCTGGGATGTAGGCTCAAACATATGGATCCTGCCGTGCCGTGTCTTTAGATGAGCTCCAGATGTGTCACATTCTTCCTGCACAGATGTTGTAGACAGAGGACATGCTAAAGCTATCGGCCTGTGCTGTGTTCAGTGTCAGTGTCTCTGTTCACAGCCGGCAGCACTTACAGGGCTGTCGAGATGTCTCATTTTAGGGTTAACATTGTTCCAGCCCCACACTGCCAACTCAGCCCGTGTTATCTTGACCTACATCATCAGAGGTATAATACTCCTGACAACAGAAACATAGCCAGACTTGACTTGAATGAACAAAACTATTATAATGTCTAGAGGTGAGTAGAGATGGTTCATGTCTGCAAGTTCCAGGTCCTATACTGATGGTAAAGAAACAGGCATTAGAGCAGCAGTAACTGGCTCCCACTGTTGCCAAACAAACCAAAAGAACAATGCAAAACGACAGCATATTATAGCAGAAATAGGAACTGTTTTCTTTTTGAAAAGCATGGAGAAGGTAAGTGCTTTACATTTGTAGACAGGGAACATGTATGTACGTTTTACTCAACTTGATTTAACATGTTTGATTTCTCAGCTTGTTGTAACTTCATATCTCTTTGTACAACACGCAGGCTTCTACAATACCACCAGATTAAACCTGCTGACAAAAGTTACAGGATATTTTAGGTTTTATCTATGGCTAAGACAGATCTAAAACAGGAATACAGTTTCAATAAAAATTTTAACCAAAGAACAACAGTTTACATTGACTCTAAATTCAGCAAATAGTAGAACTGAGCATGAGCTTGTGTACCAGTAGTACACGTAACACTGTTTGAGAACCAGTGTTGTAATTGGAAATACACTGACGTAATTATAGAGCACTTTAAAAAGCAATGGTAACTCTCCATTCACATTCAATCACACTGCTGTATGTGTTTTTGATGTTTGCCTAAATGATACTGGGGAGATTGTGTTACCCTTGAAATTCTGATAATTACATTTGGACATTTTGAAGTTTAATTTTAACATGTGTTTTGAATTCACGATGCTTTGTTTAATTTAATTAACAAAGCTTTGTTCATGTAAAGATGGATTCTGCCATCTTCAATTAAATTGTGCGTTACAAACAAAGTTTCAGATTAAAATTCTGTAACCTGATGTGCATTTAAAAGAGAAGACAAAGAATAGATGGATGAGATAATCACTGTAGCCTGTATAGTTCTTATTTCAGTAAATAACATGTAATCAAATCTTGCATAATGCGATAATCTAGTTGCTTTTTCTATTCCTTATTAGATCAAATTTCTGCTGTCAAAGGTTGGATTTAAAGAATGCAAAAAGTGTTCTGCTGTAGATCACTACTGTTGTGATAATAAAACATATGGGATAGGCCTGCACATTATATTGCGATCAAATCAAAATTGCTGTTTGAGTTGGCGCAATTATCAAATCAGAAAAGCTGTGATTATTTTAAGTAATGTAATGTCATCTGCAAATAACAAAATATCTGGTCTTTTTATTAGAAAATCTTATTAGTATTAGTTTATCAAGTGATATTTCAGTCTGTTATCGCACTCTCAGAATCCTACTTTATTGCAATTGCAGCACTTGATTTTTTTTCTTTGGTTTTATGGTGAGCATATGTCTGTGTGCATTTGTGTGCGCAGGACTTACTGGGCAAAGACATCCTGGAGTTCTGCCACCCGGAGGACCAGAGCCACCTACGGGAGAGCTTCCAGCAGGTACCACCCCCTCTGTCCACTCAGAGCCAGATCACTCACTAAGAATGGTCCAGTATGGAACAGATACCAATACCCGATATTCATCTTGCTATATTGGCCACTAACTGATATTTGCTCATATTGATAACTGAGAAATTAAAATCTATAGCATGGCTCATACATTTAAAGCTGCATTGTGTAACTTTTCTGGTGGAAAGTTGTCAAATGCTTTTGTCCATGGAGATGTAATTGCTGTGTCTGTAATGTTTCACAGTATGGTATTAAAACTTTCTATCTTCATGGAGACCAAATAACAAGTGAGATCTGTTGAGAGGTAACCCTGCTCACAGTCAGTCAATAAAACCATCTGTAATTGAATAAGTGTGAGGTAGACCTGTTTAATGTCATACTGTGGAACATTCCAGGCAGAGCAATGACTGTAAAAACAAATTGTTTATGTGGGTTTGAATGTAATTTGTTGTATTTTTAACATGCAGCCACCTCTTCACTGCTCTTCTATTTCCATTTGAATTACAATTCATTCAGTGTATTGCTCTCTTTTGGACAATGATGCTTAACATTGCATTGTTCATTCATTCCACACTCAATAGTGGTAAAATACTATTGTAGACTGACAGATTGACAGACGTGAGGGTCCCAATATGCCCCATTATCCACACAGAGATAGGCAGCTTACAAAACACGTGTAGTAAATATCTGGAAACTTTTTGAACCAATACTGATGTAGCTGAAAAAATCCCCCAATTAATACTTTGCTGTGACATCTTGCTAGGGGTGTTCTACATGTCTCTCTAATGGTAGAATGTTTAGGAGTTACCATGGTGACACAATGAACACAGAAGCAAGTCAAAAAAGGTTTAAGATTGTTTAAAAACTCAAGAAAAAACACAAAAATGATTTCTATTGCATTACATTACATTTTTATTTATTTATTTATAATTTTATGTGTGAGAGACTTGTTTAAGCCACAAATCATCAGTTCTTTATGGTCAGATTGTATTAAAATAAAGCTCAGATTAAAGTCTAATGAAGATCTTATTTAGCATCACGCCCGGAATGTTGATTACATCAGCTACAAAGTATCAATATCACCTATACCGATAATAGCAATGGATATACAGTCCCTCCCTATATTTGACCATCCTGTGACCTTCATCCTGTTGTTTTGTTCCAGGTGGTGAAGCTGAAGGGCCAGGTTCTGTCTGTCATGTACCGCTTCAGGATGAAGAGCAGAGAGTGGATGCTGATCCGCACCAGCAGCTTCACCTTCCAGAACCCCTACTCCGACGAAATTGAGTACATCATCTGTACCAACACCAACGTCAAGTAAGGACGCCCTCACACAAACAAACAGGCTATGTTTCATCACTACATTTTAGAGTTTAAAGGACCTATATTAAGCTATTTTCTGATCTGTGTTATAATGTTGTAATGTTGTTTCCTCATCACAAACATACCTGGAGTTTTGTTTCATTCACACGTAAAACACACGAACCCTGCACATTTATAGTATAGAGTATAGAGTTCTCTCTCAAACGGAAAACACTCCACCTTATGATGTCATGCGGTTTACACAGGAAGTGCTCCACTGTGTTTTTAATTCATGTATGGACCTTGACTAAAATATTGGGATCATTTAAGCCCTGGTATTGCCAATCTCTACAGACCTAAAGGTAAAAAACTTGAAAACGACCACTACAAGACATCACAGAGTATTTTGAGTGATGGTGATATAGACAGACTTATAATAAAGAATTATTCAAACACATGTGAACAAAACAAAACTCCAGATGTGTTTTTGACAATGTAACAACATTTTAACCAGTCTTAAAGCTTACAAGAATACATTTTGTGTAATACAGGACCTTTGTAGCACCTGTTAAGAGATTAAGAGGATTGGCAAATAGGATTGGTTTTAGCATCCACTTGTTTCTATTAACTAAAGGTGCACTATGTAACTTTTCTGATGGGGGTTTGTCTTCATGGAGATGTTATTGCTTTGCTTTGGAATGTTCCGTAGTGTGGTATTAAACTGATTTAACTTGTGTTTATTCGATCTCATTGTTTGTATTACTAAAATACAATAAAAATGGCAATTTACAGACCTGATTTGCGACTTGGTTGGTTGTTTCCATGGAGATATAGAAATTTAATGTCAGAATTTGGAACATTCTATGCAAGATAATAACATCTCCATGGAGACAAGCAGGCGATGGACCCGCCACTATAAAAGTTACATATTCTTGTACCTTTAAATCACATTGTGATGCATTGTAAACACAGAATGGTATGGTAATGTGTGGGTGTGTGAGTATTGGTAGTCCCGAGTGTTCCTCCTCATATGTGGAGCAGCCAGGCTGAAGTCCCTGAGAGACATCAAGAGAAAGTGCACCTGTTTTATTTACTAATGCTGTTTCTATCAGACACTTCTGACACAGACATGCACTCAGCGCATTTCTACCAATTCAACTCTAATGTGAGCCTTTTATTTTATACTTTAAAAACGATGTAGAGAAGGTTTCAAAGGTGATCTTCTGGACACTGTTTGCAATGGGTTCAACACAGTTAAGACAATATATATACAATATACAATGGGGGCATACCGACCCATAATGATGTCAGCTAAACAACAGCAGGGAAGTGTCATAGTAAAACTCCTCCCTCTCCCTCTTTTTTTTTATTATTATTATTATTTTTTTTTACATAAATGTCAGATTTGGGGCATTACAGTCAGTGGAGTGGTGAGTGTCCACAAGTGTAGTTACTGCTAATGGACTGAGCAGTGAAAGCCCAGGAAGCTTTTTACTTTCAAGGTTTTTCTATAAAGATTTAAAAAATGAAATTTCTTTCCTTTATGACCTGTCCTGAGGGTGAGACACTGCTGGTGATGTAATTTTTTATATAAAAATAAGGCATTTTATGTGTAAAATGACGTTTTAAAAAGAAACATGCATAGAGCCAATTTGTAATGTCTTGCTTCATTTTGTTGTCAGATTAGATAAAAAAAAAAAAAAAAAAGAATAATTTTGGATATTTTATTTTGTGAGACCATGAAATCACAGTGAAAATTGGCCCAGAAATTCACATTTTGCCCAAGTTTTGAAGTTAAAACTTGGAGCCACTTGGAACTTGGATATGCAGCCCTGGAATTGGATATTAAATATCCAACTGGATAATTTGTCAAAATCTTGTTAAATACATAATTGTGTAAAAAGTCTATGTGGGTATTATTTCAAGGGTTGATTCAGATGTCCTAATAGGAGAAAAATTACCCATGCAATGACCCACAGAAATCAATGGCTGCAATTTGATACAGGCAATTAATAAAGCCTCTTGTTTTTGTGGAGATTAGCTTGTATGTTGAGAGCCCAAACTGACCAAAAAGATAAAAATAAAAAAATAAAAATGAGTTTTGTCTATTGTGTATTGACAGTGAAATGCCAGTATGAGTTTGACGGGCTTTGTTTTGTTGTGTTGCAGACAGCTCCAGCAGCAGCAGCAGGCAGAGTTGGAGGTGCACCAGAGAGATGGGCTCAGTGCCTACGACCTGTCCCAGGTACCAACACTCAACACTCAACACTCAACGCTGCAAACAGCCAGTTCCAGCTTTCAAACACCAGCAAGCAGCAGTGGTCAAACTCTTCACACCACATACTCTGTGGAAATTTTCTTGAGTGGAACATAACTCATTACAAATACTCAGAAGCATATATAAATATTTTTGGGGCAGTTGTACTTTTTTGAGTTAATGTTTAAACTTGTACATGTAATTGAGTATAATTCTAGTCATGCTACTGTTACGAGTTACATTTTTCATCATATCAAAAAAGATTTTGATCATCAGTAATACACTTTCATTGTAAATATTCTCTGTTTAGAAGCCTTCAGTCACCATAATTCAACCTTTATTTAGTTGATAATTGTATTAATTATTATTAAAGTCTCAAAAGAACAATAGGAATAACTGCTCTGAATGGAGCGATGGGAGCAGGGAACCCTTCTCTAGATCTTGAACCAGGAGTGGGGGGATGTAAAGATTAAAGGAAACATATTATTCAAAATGGAAATTTAATGCTTTTATAACTATGTTATTGCACTGCTGTCTCTGCTTCTTTCTATAGCTGTCAGCACTGCATCATCTGCTCTGATTGAGAGCTCAGAGTACATGTGGATTGAGGTTTACGATGACTGAATTCAGTTTTACACTTTTTGACTGATCAAGATTTATATAAAAGTGTGATCTAAAATTCTTAAAAATGTGTGTTAGTATTAGTAGCATTTTTCATGTGTACTTTTATATTTGGTCTAGTACACATTTTCAGTACTCCTTCCACCACTCTTACTTGTATCTAATCAAAATAATATAATTTTGACACCTCATGCAGAAGTATCATTGATGAAGCCCTTCGTTTAAGAAGTACACTGCATTATTGTGTAAGAGGTGAATTTTCCATGCGTGACTTAAAGTACTTTTAAACATCCAAATAGATGAATATGTTATTCAGTACAAATTCTGCTTGCTTTCTTTTCAAAGCCTGTTATGCTGTGATGAATCAGAATTTCACATCACTTTAATATAATCAAAGCCGGTCTCACTGATGCCATAATCTTAAAATACCGAGGCTCTGATTAGACAAATATGTGAGAAATGTATGTGTAAAGCAGCCATGGACAATCAGCAGCCTCTCCTGAGTCCGAGCTGTTTGGGAGGCACAGATGGGCTGATGACTGGCCCCACACCAGCTGAGCTCCACGTTCCCACCACAAATATACAGCGCACGCCACACTGCTAGTATGTCGACACAACCATGACAATGCTCTTCTGGAAATGCTAACAATAAAAGAATGTTTATGGCATCACAGGGGTTCATTATTCATTTCAAAGTACTTGTGTAGACAAACAGGGTTTTTATTTTTCAGACCAGTAGCCAGGCTCTGTGAAGCCTTGAGGACTCATAAACCGTGTGTGTGTGTTGATTGATTTAGCCTTCACTGTGCCAGTGTGTCCACCTGCACACCACCAAACAACCAAGATTAATCTTGTCAAAAATAAAAGCTGAGTTTCTTTATCTTTTCTTTTTTTTCCAAGATTACGTCAAATATTTATTATATTTCATTCATTCATAGTGTTGTCACAAAACAATAAAATATTTCAAAACTCAATTTCAATACTAAGAAATAGACTTGATACTGTTTTGATACCAATTTTAATATTGATTATTATCTGATTTTCGATACTTTTGATACCCCTAGTACCTATTGCCTAATTTTATTTATTTATTTATTTTATTTTTTTAAAGCAGCACTTTGTGACAAAATCTGAATGCTTTGCACTGTCTGCTTCTAATAATAAGTATTTAAGCAAACACCAACTGAAAATAAAGAGACAATGCTGAGCAGGTTGGCGATGCGATTTCAGCTTCCACAGATGAATGTTGTTGTGTTCTTAATCAAGACACTTACCTTGCCTCACCCTCAGTGTCTCTGTGCTGATCTTTGTCTAGCTGTTGTGGTCAATAATCCACTGCAAGGACAACAAATATATGCTAAAGAGGGGGTGTTACGCAAAATCAGAATTTTAAAGATTTTTGACCACGTTATCACATCAAATATATTTCTGAAGAGATTTTATATGTCACCTATACATACATAATCTAGCGATCTGTCCCGCACCAATCGAACCCTCCTTACGCTTAGCTGTACCGAGCTCACACCCCATGTACAAAGCTCAGTCCACAAGCCTCCACCACCCATGCCCCCACAATATACAAGAGTAGACTACAAAACATTAGACTACAACTTGACAAACCTGATGAAATGTTCATCAGTTTCATTAGTGGAAGGTAGGGAGCAGGGACTGAGCATCAAAAATGAAACTGGAACTACTTAAATATGTATATAGCATTTTCCAAACAACAAAAGGTAACACGGTGATCTAAATATGCTATGTGGTAGCAATGAATACCCCATAAAATTGTGATATCACTTCTTAAGTAAAGACTACTACAAATTGTGTTTATCTGGCATATAAAATCATTTGTTGCATGATTGTGTAAAGATACAGCCATATTTTACCGTAATTGCTCTTCTATTTAAAGTTTTACTCGAGTGTTTGTTTAAAAAGACATTACTCAGAAAATTCTCAGATTACACAGATAATCCATCACTTGTATAAAAATGCCATATAAATCTGATCATTTACGATTTTCCTACTTACCAAAGGGTTTGTGAAAGCTCGGAACTTTTCACTGCGTCAGTGTGTGAAAATTAGTTTACAGTACAACTTTTGGCTATTCCCAGTTCTGTTTAGTCACCGTTGACAATATTCCTCATTGATTATGTTATTATCTTTTTATTTATTTTTTGTCCAACAAAACATTCCATCCGCGAAATCTCTGACGAACTATATTAGTCGACAAAAGTAATATTGAAAACATCCTGACCAAGAGGGCCAGATGAGGAGCAGTGGATGGTGCCCCTGTTTCCGCTGTGGAAGGGTGGCGTGCTGGCTCCATCTGCTTCTCATTGTCTGCTTCTGTCATAGTTCCAAGCAGCATTACCGGCCTGATGAAGGCATGCGCCTGCACTAGGACAGATGTGTTTGTCCTGCCATTACCTAACACTTGTATGTATGGATATATGTGTGTGTATGTGGTACATACACCACCAGTCAAAAGTTTAGGCGCGTTCTCATTCAATGTTTTTTTTGGTTTTTTTTTGTTTACTAGCTCTGACATTTTAGATAAATATGGAAGACATCAGTAACCACCACCTCCACCATAATCGTTTTTCATTCATTCCACACTTGGCGGTGGTAAGTTACTTTTCTAGCCACAGCTGCCCTGGAGCAAACTGATGAAAGCAAGGCTACCTATCTGCGCCACTGGCCCCTCTGATCACGAGTCACGCACAAACTATATTCACACTAAGCAACGCAGAAGTGAAGTGTCTTGCCTTAAACACAGCATGTGTATATAATAGTGTATGTATGTGTATGTGTCAGGTTCCAGTGGCCAGCGTCAGCAGTGGGGTCCACGAGGCCGGAAAGACCATGGACAAGTCTGAGGGGCTGTTTCCCCAGGACCGGGACCCACGCTTCGCCGAGATGTACTCCGCCATCTCCAACTGTAGGTCTTACAGTGCACTCACCTATACAAACACACTGAGGGGTTCAATAGTTGTGAAATGGACTCTAGTTTTTGATAAGGGTGTTTTCTTTTGTAGTGGGGGGTCAGCCACCTGCTTGTCTCCATGAATATATTACTGCTTTCCTTGGAATCTTCCACAGTATTTAAACAGATCTGTCTTGCACTGATTATGTTTTTATTGCTAAGAAAAAACAAGCATACTTTTGGTCAGCTTTCCACAGTCCAACCCTCTCTGTCCAGCCCTTTCCACAGAACCGGCCTGGTACTTGGCCTGGTGGTGTCACCTGCTTGTCTCTATGGAGGTAGAGACAATAAGTTTAATGTCATACTGTGAAGCAATAACAACTCCATTGAAACAAGCAGGTGGCATACCCGCTTCCAGAAAGTTACATAATGCATCTTTAATCTTTTGCATAGTGCAATATCACAGTGGCAGAATGGACTAAGTAGGCAGGGCAAAAGGTTCAAACTAAAACATGTTTAAAATCAGGTACAGACCTTTTGAATGGATGGAGGTTTAGATCTGTTTGTGTTTCATTGTTGTTTCTTGCCCAGCCGGGGACAAGAAGATGCTGGTCCCCTCATCCACAGCAGGAGGACAGCTGTACTCCCAGAGTTCCTTCACACAAGGACACTCAGGGAAGAGCTTCAGGTATGTGCCATTTATATGTAAACTGCACAAAAACATAAGATTATGACATGTGAAAAATCCCTGTCGTCCAGGTCGAATCCATGGCAAAAGGAGAAATTGAATATGTCAAATGGACAAAAATGTATTTGGTCAAACAGGTTTCGCAGCTCATCCAAGCTGCTTCTTCAGTTCTGGTCAAAATGCTGGTGGATACTTCATGGAGGCAGACAGATATGAGGAAATATCCACCAATATTTTGACCAAAACTGAAGAAGCAGCTTGGATGAGCTATGAAACGCATTTGACCAAACAAACTTTTGTCCAGTTGACAAATTCTATTTCTCCTTTAATTATTTATATAGATTAAAAGGTATTATTTTGCTAATTGAAAGCAGTGTACAAAATTCTTCCTGTCTTAAAAGTGTGATAAACAGAGCTAGTTCATTTTGCAGTGGTCCAAAGTTATTCCTCATTTACCTTATGCATTCCGAACATCCAAGTTATTCACTGTGATGGGTTTCTAAACACAACTTTCAGAAGCCAGAGTGGAGTTTTGTCATCGCAGTAAAGCTAACAACATGCTAACACGTACTTCATGATCATCGGACAAAAAAAGATTTATAATTAGAAGCTGACATAGTTTGATTTCAAGAGCTGCTTATACAACATGTCTGTACTAGGGCAAGAAAATTAGTATAGGGTGTTTATCTATATTTAAAAATGTTATAGTACATATTTTACTAGTGCAATAAACCTACTAAACTGTATGATATTCATTTATCATCACTCCTGTATTCTGTTTATAAATATTATCACAATAACAACATACATTTTATTTTACCCATTTCAACTGAACAAATCAGCAATGAGAGGTTGGGAGGGCATCTGAAAGCACTGAAGATCGTACTTTTAATGCTAAATGCCTGTGTACTTTCTCACAGTTCTTCAGTGATCCACGTCCCAGGTGTGAATGACATTCAGCCGTCAGCATCGACCAATCAGAATCTGGCTCAGATCTCCCGACAGCTGAACCCTGGACAGGTGGGCTGGTCTGGGACCCGCCCCCCTTTCTCTGGACAGGTCAGAATGCACTGTCACTGTTATGTTTTTTAATCGGGCTCTGATAGTGTTCACATGTGGTCAAGTGGTTATCTCTGGCCAAAATGATCTTGAATATTTATAGTGTTACATAGCCATGTTTGATGACCAGTATTAATACATCCATTGTAAGTTAATTACAAACTATTTGCCAATTCAGAAAGGTTCAATAATTTACTTGGTTTCGTTTATTTATTTGTTTATTTAAATGGTATTTTATTATCCTGCTTCTATTTCTGTTAAATAATTTTTTTTTTATTAATTCACTTTCATTTTAAATGTTTTAACTTATAGGTGACTTATAGCTGGCATCACTTTGAATACTGCCATACAAGTGGAATACATACTGTTTGTATACCAGCTACATAGCCCATTTATGTGAGTATCTTGTCCTCCACAGTCCAGTAAAGCCCAGTCCAGTCCGTTTGGGATCAGCTCTGGGCACAGTTATCAGACAGACCCTGCCTCCTACAGCCCCCTGTCGTCACCTGCCACATCCTCCCCCAGCGGCAACGCCTATTCTGGGCTCACCAACCGCACCACTGCCTTTGGTAAATCACATTGATTATGAATATATTATAGAGATGGATTTTACTGTTTTGCAGCTATTCTTTTAGTCTGTTTCAAGTTGCTTAATTCTTCAGTGAATTCCCTGGATTCCCATCAATGTTTTTCATTTTATGTGGGCGGGTTTCCCCCCATCAACCTCCAACATGCACAATGAGTCAAATCCTCTAGCTAAGGTAAGTCTGACTAAACCCAGCTCAAGCTCTGGAAATGGGTCCCTGGGGCCTGTACTCCAGCTGCTCCTGCAAGGCCCTAGCCCAGTGGAATTGAAGGTTGGGTCAAATGAGGAGGAGAAATTTCCTGAACAGGACAGTGGTATATCGTTCCTACAGTACTACCACTTCTTATACAGCATTTTTTAATTGGGGTTAAATGTAAAAGAGGGAGGCTTTAGTCTCAGTCTGCAACCATCCATCTTATGTCTCCTTTTCACCACAGAAGAGGACATTCTAACCTTTAACACTGCTCTAAGGATCTGTGTCGCTCTGTGTTTAGACGTGTCCGGAGAGAGCAGCCAGAATAGCGCACAGTTCCAGGGACGCCCCAGTGAGGTGTGGTCCCAATGGCAGAACCAGCACCACACCCAGCAGACGGGAGAGACGCATACACACTCCACCCCCAGCCAGAGCGAGGTCTTCCAGGTAACATCCACACTCTACCCCCAGAGTAAGGTCTTCCAGGTAACATACGCACTCAGTCCCACAGCGAGGTGTTCCAGGTAACATAAACCTGTAGCTAGAGAGAGCTGTTCGAGGTAATATCCACACTCCACCCCTAGCCAGAATGCGGGTTTCCACGTGACATACACAGTCCACCTCCAGAGTCAGGTAACATAAAAACAGCAGCTCCTCTAGAGGTCTTGTCTATTTCTTCTCTATAGGCCCTCTCACTGTTGGAGAGTTCTGTGCTGATGATGTTCTCCTCCACAGGACATGTTGCCGATGGCAGGAGACCCCACCCAGGGCACAGCCAACTACAACATTGAGGACTTCGCAGACCTGGGCATGTTCCCTCCCTTTTCTGAGTAGCCCTGCCCCTTCCTGTGGACTGGTCACCTCAGTGTCATGAGCAGCACATACCTCATCCACTCCTCAGTGCACTGAAGCTCCACCTCTGTGTCCATGGCCTGTGCTCTCCATGAACCTGCAGCAGAGCAACACTGTGGCTTTCTCCAAAAGGTCCCATGCATCCATTCAGCACACACCTGCCCCAGCCTGACAACAGTGTTTTGTACAGCATCCAATTACGTACATTGTGGACAGTTTGTTGTGTGATGATTTCTGAAGCATTCCAAAGCAATGCTCTCCGCTCTGACCATTCCTTCATGTGCTCACAGCGCTCTGTGTGCACTCATTCATGGACCAAGCGTGGAACTGGAGTGCCTATCAGAACCAAGATTGACCCAGTCCATGCAAACACCCAGGAATATGGGTTCCACACTGTAGGGACCTTTTCCTGTCACGTTTTTTGACTCATACTTATTTTGACACACTTTGTTGCATAGGTGGAACTGAGGACCGAGACTGTGAATTAAGGAGTTTTGGGCCCTAAGGCAGTTAGTTTCCAATCAGACCATCTCCAACTGTAGACTGCACTCACATACACAAACAAACTGAGAGGTTCAATATTTGTGAAATGGATTCTAGTCTTTTGGCAAGGATGTGTTCTTTTCTAGTGGGGGGCCAGCCACCTGCTGAATATGAATGAATATGTTACTGCTTTCCTTGGAATCTTCCACAGTATTTAACCTGATCTGTCTTGCATTAGTTCCGTTTTTATTGCAAAGATAATACCTTGGAAAAACAAGCATACTTTCTATCAGCGGGGTCCTTATCACAGATACAACCTGTCACTTGGCTTGGTGGCATCACCTGCTCCTCTCCATGGAGATAGACACAGTAATTTTAATGTCATACTGTGAAGCAATAACATCTCCATGGAGACAAGCAGGTGGCATACCCTCTTCCAGAAAAGTTAGATAATGCATCTTTAATCTGTGACATAGTGCAATGTCACAGTGGCAGAAAGGACGAAGTAGGCAGGGCAAAAGGTTCAAACTAAAACATGTTCCTGACCAATGGTTTGAAACATGCCTTTTAGGTGGACAGAGATTTAGTCTAGACTCTTGTCCAAGAACCATCCAGTGAGGTGGAGACTTATGTAACACAAGTACATGCATTCAATATTTATTTGTACCATGCAATCAAGATGCTAATTCTAAAGCCAGCAAGACTCACCCTATTAATCTCAGAAAGTTTGTCCATGGAACTAGCTTACCATGTTTCAATCTGACAGCTCTCAGTTGTGCAAACACAAGCAGGGGCACTGGGAGAATCCTAATACTGGATTAGGCCTAGGGTGTCCCAGGAAAACATTCACTGTACAGAATTCAAAGAGGTTAGCCTGACTACCTCTCTCAGTCTATGTAGTCATTTTCATACAGCTTACGTCATTAAAGCAGACCACAATCACAGAAAGAAGAGCCCAACTGGTGGTTCTTTGTGTTCTAGAGTGCTCCTCAAGATGCCCCCGCTGACCTGCTGCCATTGGGGGGCCGTGGACTTGTGCGCACTGCTGGTGGGATGGCTCGGACACAGGCTTTTGCTAAAATCTCCACTCAATGTTTTTGTAAATAAAGGTGATTTTTATGTAACTGTTGTTCTTTCACACAGTCCATGTTTTGTGTAGATCTAATGATATTGTGTGCAGTGTGGTACATACGTAACTCTGGCATTAGTTAGTCTGTCTGTGTACACTCAGCCCTGTATAAAGTGCTCCAATGTGGCCGTTCTTTTGTGTAACAGACTGTGCTCGTGGCAATAAACACTTCTTTGTTACACGTCACCATGGTCCTCTTCAGTGTCAGTTTCTCCCACTCATGCACCACCATCAGCGGGCATACACAAGAACTATAGGGGATTTCTGATTATGTTTATGAAAATAAAGTTTTGCACATATTTCATTGTATAATATAAAATAAGCTAAGAGAAAACTTTATTTGTTCCACAGTGATGAAGTTACAGTTTCAGTTTGAGTGAGAGATGCATGTGGGAGTGGGTATTGCAGGCTTTTGTCATGTTTTATGAATTGTGCGGGTGATGTGGCTGGCCTTGGTCCAGCAGGGGACTAAGAATGGAAATGAGCTTTGGCTACAATCCTGCATATTTACAAGTACATGTTTGTCATTGGCAAATAATAAATAAATACAAAACACAAATTGATGCAGAAATAACAAAAAAAACTATGAGTTATTGTCAAATGAATCAAATTTTCAAACCCACAATGCATTCAAAGTTCTATAGTGCATGAAATTTGTGCTTTAAGTCATGTTATAATGCTGTTACCTAATCAAAAACAGACCTGGAGTTATTATTTGTTTCATTCACACATGTTTGAGTAACTCTTTATTATTAGTCTGTCTACATCTTCAAAAATCAAAATGCTCTATTCCACCTTGTGATGTTATGAAGCAGTAGTTTACAAGTTTGCAGGTTACCTTTTACCTTTAGTTCTCCAGAAATGGGCAATTCCAAGGCTGAAATCATCCAAATGATTCTAATGAAGCTGCACAGGATTGAAAAATACTGGAGCACTTCCAAAAACACAACTCCAGGTATGTTTGTGATGAGGAAACAACATTATAACAGATTATAAAAGATCTGAAAATAGTGCAATATGGGCCTTTTAAGGTACCATGAATCACTCTTGTTTTGCCTAGAATGTTCCACAACATGGCTTAAGGTTTAGCAGTCTCAATGGAAACAAGCAGATGACTCCACCAAACCAAGTATTTTTGGCAATAAAAGCCTGTAATTGGATAAAGGAGAGGTAGATAAATTTCTACCATATTGTGGAACATTCCAAGCAAAGCAATAACATTTTGATGGACCATGAACCAGAAAACTAGGTCAAGCCGGCCTATCCAATTTTTCCCATGTATTTAAGTACATTTGAGTTGGCTGATACTGTTATACAGATATACTGTATAAGCAGCTCTTGAGCTAAAAAATATGCCCACTGTATGCTGTCTGCTCCAATTGGAAATATTTTATTGCAAGAAATCAGGAGGTGAGTGGTTAGCATGCTCGTTGTTGTTAGCATTATCACCACAGCAAAACTCTGCTTATAAACTCATGTCAATTAATGATTAGGATTTTCAGAATGCATAAGGTAAGTGAGAAAAAAAATTTGATTATGTAAAACAACTGTTTTGTTTTGTTGTTTTTTTTTAAGTTCATCCTACTCCTTTAGAGCGCCAAGTCCCAAATATGTACATGTACATGTCCATGTTTTTGTTTGTGTTGGTGATTTAGTTTTACCTCACTCAAATTAAAAGAAAAAAAAAAAGATTTTGAGTTTTTAAGACAAAACAATTGTTTCCGTGAAGATGGGCTAAGAATCTTCCACAGTATGACCATAAACTTAAAAATCTCCATGGAGGTTTGTATGCCAAATTACAGATTAGATTCATGTAGAGGCGAATACACTCACAGTAAGAATTCATGTTTTTAAGATATTTTTGAGCGGATAAAATAACACCTATATTTGAATAGATGCTAAATTTGTTTAATACCATACTCTGGACAATTTAACATCTCCAGGTTGCAGACCCTCTCCAGAAAAGTTACAGAGTGCACCTTTAAGTACAATTATTAGCCATCTTCTGCTCTACTCTGCCCCAGCCCCTGCCTTGGCTGTAAACAGCACTGTTCGACGGATCCTGATGCCAGCAGCTGCCCATCTCTGCCCCGTTGGCCCCATGATGAACACTGTCTCTGGGAACACGGTGCCCGAATTTTCCCCTCGCCCTCTGGAGGTTTAGTGTTTCATTGAGGGGCCAGCTGGTGCTCACAACTGGAGAACAATGTAAAAAAAAAAAAAAAAAATGTATAAAAGACTAAAATTACTTCAGAATCTGTGTCATCATGTAGCGGCATTAGTGGGCCTAGTATTTGTTGGTGTAAAGTTATTTTATTATTTTCAGTCTGACTATTGAATAAGAATGTTTGCTTTTTAGGAATATTATATTGAATAATAATAAAAACAAGGAAATACATCTACAGAACAGAACTACTTACTCTTTTCACTGAGAGCACTTTTAACAACTTTCAGAGACCAGAGTGGAGTTTTGCAATCAAGGTAAGCAACTGCGGCCATGCTAACCATGTACTTCCTGATACTCGAAGGATGAACACTTTCTGATTAAACGCAAGACAGTACACAGCTGACGTGTTTTGTCCTAAGAGCTGCTTATGCAATATATCTTTACTGAGACAAAGACAAATTCTGGTCCTTTAAGGTGGCTTTTTTGTTTCTGACAGTCAGTGTTAATAATTCTCCGAAAAAGCAAAAAAAAAAAAAAGTCTTATCCAAAAGTCAGATTGAAAATATATAAATAATACTGCCACTCAAGATGTACTCCTCTTCTCAAACCAGGAAACCATTCCAGTGATTTAAGTGCTCTTAAAGGCTAGATGTGCACTGAGGTGAAAGAGATAAATTAAAGGTTGACCAAATGCATTCATCATATAACATCATGATATCTTTAAAACACGGAATGTTCCGTACCAGGCTGTACAATGTTGGTAGACCATAAAAATGCAACCAACTGCTGATTTAACACTTGGGCAAGTCATGAAAAGGCCGACATGTGCACATGGACAGCTCAAAAACACCACTATCTATAGAAAAGATTGCATCAGAGTCAAAGGTTAAATGAAACTAACTGGTGAAAATGACAAAAGTCTCACAAAGCCTTTCACTGTTGTTGTGCTGTTGTGCAAGACATTTCAAAATGTAACCTTTTTTGTGGGTGATTTGTCAGGTGATTGTCTCCATGGAGATTGATGCTTTTTCTGAAATTCTCCACAGCATGCCATTAACATATATCTTTTGTTTATTAAATTACTGGTGATCGTTATTGCCTTGAAAAACTACATTCTTAGTGCAGCCTTCTTTACAGAGCTCACCTGTAATGTGGCATGGTGTCGTCTCCATGGAGATAAATATGCTTAATGCCACATGAAGAACATCCCAGGTAAAGGTCTGGTGGAGAGGGCGCCAAACCGCAGACATAAAAGGATTAAACAACATACAGTATGTGCAAGTAAAATTCCACATGCTTTAATCTTCTTAGCAATATTTTTTCACAAAAAAACTACAAAACAAAACAAAACACAAAACATTCCAAAATTAATAAAAGAAGAAGAGGAAATTACTTACTTTTTCAAATTTCCTAGGGGTGGATCCATAGATCTCCTGTCTTCATTCTGATATAATATCACTTCAGACTTTACCTTTATTTCATGATCTAGTCATAGACTGTATAAAGAAGTCATCTAACTGTGATGTCACCCAAATTCGTTCTGCTCAACTCAAATGAAGCTCGTGATGCTAGGCTCTGTATTATCTAGCAGTTGTAGAGAGAGGGGCCACAATATTCCAATGTAAGTCAATAAGAGCCAGGGTCAGTAAGAGCTGAAAGAGCCGCATGTGAACTTCCGTAGCAAAAATAACCAAATATGAGGGAGGCTGGTGGCAGGGGATTACAATATGAAATCTTGCCTTGGGCTCCAAAAGAAGCAAGAACCAGCCCTGGAAGACTGTCTTGAAAAGTTCCATAGTGCATCTTTATGTGCGTTTGTTAGTACCGTACTATTAATGCTGAGAGAATCAAGTACAAAAATGAGTAATGAGTAACAAAAAATATATGTATTAAAAAATCGAATCAGTGCGCTCAACTTAAAACAGATGAATAAACAAATGTATGGCTTATCAAGAGAACAGGTGCAAGAGGTGAAAAGGTGTAGAGGAGGATGGGTGTTGTACAAGCTGGGGTGGATGAGAGATGGATGAGTGAAGAGGAGGAAGAGAGGGGAGATAAGTAGAGTGAGGATAAGCCTTTGCTCGGGATTTCACCTGCAAATTCTATATGCACGAGGGAGAAAGAGAGGGAGAGAGCAAAAGAGAGAGGGGGAAATCAGACAGTGTGAGATAGCAGAGAGGGAGAGCAAAAAAAGCGAAAGTAAGAGAGACAGCGAGAGAGAGAGAGAGAGAGAGAGAGAGAGGGGAGAGAAAAAAGCGTGAAAGAGAGAGAGAGAGCACAGCTTAGCTCTTTAAAGCCTGTACAAAGTGTGCAATGAAGGCTGGAGAAACCTGATACTGAAAAGAACCCTATGGAGCTGACGTGAGAGTGGCATCACTCCTCCTGATCTCCACTGATCCCTCGAGAGCCCAGCACCGCATCCTTCCCTCCTATAGGCCAATATAATTACTATATGAACTTATCATTTAATAAACAAGTGGTCAATACTTGCTCTGGTAGTACTTTTAACTTTATTTCTTTGTGGTATACAACATTTGAGCTGTATTGGGTCAAATAATCATATCAGTAACTCACTATAAGTATCAGCACGCTTTTACACATTGAACATTGTGTTTTGTGTGAATTGACAATATGAGGTATATGAGTTTCACTTATGAGTTTACAATATTATCATTTATTGTGACATATTTATGAAACAATATACCCTAAAGACCATCCAAAAGTTATGGTGGTGACAGGCCCAGATCGTCCCTCTGTGCTTTCAGCGTGGTTATGGCATCATCAGGCAATGCAGTGAGCTGGTTCATTGTGGCTCATAAGGGGGAAAACAGTTTGATGTGAAGTGGGCTTAAACACGTGCGCTGCAGGCCTGTCACTGCTCTGTGGAGTGTGTGAGGAGGGAGATATGTGGATTTGCATAAGCTGCTGTTGTGTTCTCCGTCTGGGAATGGGGTTGGTGGTGGGGTTGGCTGGTGGTGCGGGGCCAGTGTTTGCAGCCTGTGTGTCTCCAAATTGACAAGTTTATCAGAAATGTGCCTCCCCAAATCCTCCATGATGCTTTAATCTCAAACCAGCAAATATGAACTTGTTACACCTCCTTTATACTCCACAGATTCTAAACTACACTTGATCATATAGTGGAATCACCTGCATTAGTTAATTACAGTAGTTGTTGTGTCTATGGGCAAGGCACTTTACTTGGCCTGTGTGAATGTGTAGGTGAGGATGTTGGTAGTGATCATAGTATTTCCTTTAGTTAGATGTAGTTTACTACAGTTGAGTGTGGAGAGTTTGAGGAGTTTGTAAGTGCAATATTATACAATATTATGAGACTAACTGTCTGGAGTGTCTTTGATTGTGCTGATGATTGAGTGTTGGTCTGATTGTTTACATGTACATCTTACACTGGATACTTGATTAATGATTATTGAACTGTATGTGATTTCAACACACCCGTGAGTCATGTTTAGGTGCCAAACATTTAAATCTAAGTTTCATTTAGTGTGGGACATAGTGCCTCCTGTTGAGTCCAACACAGTAGTGTGCACTCTAGAGAGCTCAGTTCTGACGGCCCATGCAGAGTTGATAATCTGATCTAAAGTGTAATGGTGCTATTATCCCTGCTCCTGTCTGCGCTGTCACACAGCTGCTGTCTGCTCTCTGCTAATGGTCTGTGATTACACCTGCTGACAGAGCTGACACCTGACCAGCCTGGAGGCTGCTACCCCGGGGTCCTGCAGGGTCTCCACTGTATCTTATTCATTCAATTATAGCTACATGATCCCCAGAAGGGACTGTCTGAATTTTGGGTAGAATTGTTTACCGCTTCTGGAACACTGTCCCAACGTTATGATCTCAGAACTACTCAGGCATGGAGTTTATAACCCTATTACTAAATCCTATTGTTAGTAGTAGTATCTTAAGGGCACAATTAGGCCTAACAAAAAATCATGCTGATGGGTTATTTGAGATATTAAACAAAAAATAAAAAATACATGCAATACTTTAAATTCATTTAAAAAATGTAACTTTAATTTAAAAATTAACAAAAATACTATTATTCTATTTATTTATTTTAATACATATTTATATTTTTGAATTAGAAAATGTGGCTACGTCATCAATGTGCGACACATGCCAAGTCGATACACGGAAGCTTAGCTTTGTGTTTGCGGATAGCCTGCAACAGTTAGTAGCACGGTGTTTTGTGCTCTCAAAATTGCATTTTTAAACAAAGAAAATATGAGTTGGAGGTCGATCCGTGTCCACAGGATTTTATACGGCGGATGTGAAGAAATCCTTTGAGCAAAGTGTGCCCTAGGCACCAGGTTTAGCCATTAGCTGTTAGCATTGTGCACCTGTCACCCTCAAAGATACCTTTGCTTTCCTCTGCTACTTTCTCCTCCAGCATGCTCTCGTCTGACAAATAGCACCGCTACTACCACCTGTGTTTACCCGGACTCCTTTAACACTACACCGAGGCCAAATGCCCGAGCAGGGTCCCAGGATGAACGGCTTCTCCCTGGGCGAGCTGTGCTGGCTCTTCTGCTGTCCGCCCTGTCCCAGCCGCATCGCCGCTAAGCTGGCCTTCCTCCCGCCCGAGCCCACCTACTCCATGCACACGGATGCTAACGGGGCCACCAACCTGCACCTGACAGAGCGGGCGGACTGGCAGTACTCCCAGAGGGAGCTGGATGCTGTGGAGGTGCTAAGCACCAGAAGCACCCGAGGGAACCGCGTCTGTTGCATGTTCGTGCGCTGCGCGCCCAACAGCCGCTACACGCTGCTCTTTTCTCACGGGAATGCCGTGGACCTGGGCCAGATGTGCAGCTTTTACATTGGACTAGGCTCCAGGATCAACTGTAACGTGTTCTCTTATGACTATGCGGGCTACGGAGCGAGCAGCGGTAGACCGTCTGAGAAGAACCTGTACGCGGACATCGAGGCCGCCTGGCAGGTGCTCCGGAACAAGTGAGTACTGTGCTCCGTGCGCCCACTTCTGCACTGTAAAGGAGCGCTTATACACAACTAGTGATACACAGGTTTAGACTGGACTTTATCACGAGACTTTTATAGTTAAATCCATTATACTACACTCTGTGGACCTCAGCCTGGACCTGTTGCTTGAATCATCCCCTAAATTCCCTCATATGCGCGTAATTTCCTGGAAACCACATAAAAGTTTACTGCAGGCAATGCACGGGCTGGAAACGGTGCTAAGCCCGTGAGCTAATAATGCTGTATCAGCCTGTATGAGCAAGTATAAGTCTGTAATATATTAGCTCACCACACTGGACAATGATTGGAGAGAGGCGGATGGATAGACCCAGTGGGACGCTGCTGAGAGCGAGGTTCTCTAGGAAGTTCAATAAAAATGTGCTCTCTCACAAGCTTTAAAAGTTTTAAACCAAAATCATTTTATTTAACAAGGAAGTCCCATTGTGATTCAGAATCTCTTTTACAATCTCTTAATTTTAAGTCCTGAAGGCCAGTATTGCCATGCCCACAACCACTCTGGTCTCCTGAGCAGGTTAGTGAGATAGTGAGATATTGAACATTGGTGAGACAGTGTCATTATGGATTCTACCTGGACGACTGAGGGATTTTACAAACGACAGTGTCATTACTTCAGAATCTCATTATAGACTTTCTTGTCCTTGCCACAGGTGAGCGCTGTATTGACTGAAGTCTGAATGTCACAGATGTGTTTGTTTTTGGCAGATGAATCCTGTTGCTCCTGTCCTGCCCTGGAGCGGCCATTAGCTCCTCCCCCAGGGCAACTGGGCTTAATCCATTTTTAATTTGCTCCTGGAAAAATCGTTAAGAATCTCCAGAATTTGAATATGTTTGGGATATAGCTCCTCCTCTGTGGTATGTCTGTGGCTCACAGTGGAATAATATATGATTTCTTGGCCAAGAAAGTTATAATTGTTTGAATAAAAAAACTTAGTTTGGTGGTGTAGTACCTGTGGTTAATATTTACCATTGTTTTACATCAGGGAAGCTGCCGTTTTCTGTAAAGAAAAGTACTAAAAATACAGAAGTACTAAATACCTCAATCTATGTCATCAACACTAAAACCTCCATGCAAAATGCAGAGACAATTTAGACTGAAGGAAGGTATTTTTCTGTCAGTTTAAACCTTCATTTTCCAAAACAGAGGACTATTTTTATTGGTCTAATCATAACTACTGTGTAATTTAGACACGAGTTGGCCCTTGTTAAAGTACACCTATTGTGCTCGAGGCTGTTCTGTAGTTATTATCTACAACACTTGTGGATCATTTTGTTATAATTTGCACATTTTAAATGTCAATACTCATCTAAATCAACTTAATAAAAGAAACAAGTCAAAATTGGTCAACAAAGTACGTACAGAGCAGTAGTGGTGAAAACGTGGGTTGATCGGCAATATGGCATATTGAAAATAAGTTATTGAAATTGTATTTGGAGTCATTTGCTCATGTTTGAGCAATCTTTACAGGGTCAGTGAGAAGGGGACACACCTTATAACATGGTTAAAAGCTCTGAAAAGTTGAGTTTAGATAATAAGTCTTCTTTAATATTATGATTGCTAGAACATAACAGTTATCCCAACTAAGAAGTAAAATTAGAAATGTCATCAAAATTAAATAAATGTGAAAACCTAGACAATTTTTAGTGCATTCTTAAATATAATAATGTTAACTTTTTTTTTTTTTTTTTTTTTTTTTTTTTTATGAAACAAGTAGTGTACCCTGTCATATGCACTTTTAAAAATAAACAAAATGGGCATATCTACTCTCTGCACTAGACCTATGTTTTTGGCTGGACTTTTAAACAGCCTTTACTCATTGATAATTATTATTAATTATTGCAGAAGATAAGTGGCCGGTATGAGCGTGACTAGAAACTAGACATTGCAGCCTCACAGAAGAGCTTAGTGTGTGAAATGCCTGTCCTTCTCACGAGCACTGTGCTCGCAAGGACATGTACTCTCAGTCGGTCCACCCGGCACCACTGCTTTCATTGAAAACATATTACTCATGGTTCAAGAGTGTACTGCAAAATCATCACAATGTTAAGAATTACCTGGAGCACAGACACAGGCTTTTTGATAATGCTGCTTCTTTTGGTTTATTGCTTCATTTAGTTGTGGCGTGATGTTTTAGCAAGTTTTTTATATGAGATGCCTTGCCTGTTGCTACCAGCCACTAGTGTTACAATGCTTAAATGTCGATACAACACACAAATTAACAGAAGTTTCTTTAATATATATTACCATGTGGTCTTACTTAGTTCTAACTAAGTAGAATAGACCATTCAGTATCAAATTGATAGTTGACAACCATACCAGCCATAATGTACAGCAGGCATTATAATGCCAAGAACATACCTGTATTATGTAGTAGTTTAGATGGGCGGAATCTAAACTATGGCCCAGGAGCCAAATGTGGCCCTCAGACTAATTTTTGTTAGCCCTCAGGCTTCCTGCTGTATTGGCCTATATGATCAAAGGCAGTAATTTTAACTGGAACTGTAAGTATTTCTACCACTAGGTCTGTCATGAGAACACAGTTTGAAGTATGACATGCTAAAGAAAATATAGACGATAAAAAGATTTTATTGAACTCATTTATGCCACTGACTGAATCTGTGTCATTATTGTAATCGTGCAAATTACTGCCATAAAGAATAAATCCTGATACTCAGTACCAATTTTGATAACACACTGAGGATAAAAACACCTCTTCAGCGATACAGTGCAATTTAGAAAATATGTATGTATGTAACTTTTCCTATAACATGACCTGATGGCGTCACATAGACAAACGGGTAACACTACCAGGTCAAGTTACAGGTCATATCTGTGAAGAGGCGATCCAGTTCACATAACATAATTTAATTTTAAACAATTAACACCTGCAATGGAGTAAATACAAGGTATATTTAGTTTATTGCCATAATGGAGAACATTTCAGGCAAAGCAAAACATATTCTCTATGATGGCAGACTGCCCACCAGAAAAGCAACATAGTGTCTAGTGTATACTTCTGAGATGGACCATTGTAAGACTATTCAGGAAAGGTCAGATTTGATCTGTTATCAGTATAGATGCCTTTTCACACTTGTTCAGTATTGATTAGTATCTGGGTATCTACCATACCTTCAGTAGTTTCTTGCCTTGAGACTGGAGCAGCACTAGTCCAGTTTATGTAAATGTAACAGTGCTAAGGAATACTAAGGAATAGACTCAAGACAGATTCTGATACCATGATAATAATTAAAAACTCTTTATTTAGACAATAGAATGTGCTTTTTAACATTGAATTATAGTGCTTTCTTTACCTTGTGGCCTTATATCTGTGTAATCCCTCAGTCGTCCACGTAGGTTCTATGTGCTGTTATTCTTGTTCTGATACAGCTCAAGATCATTCTAAAGCTATTCAAGAAAGGTTCATTTCTGTCCTGTGCATGTGACTTTTTTAGTAGTAGATACCTGCTTAACTCTAGTTTTGATGCTGTATTTATTATTGATTACTACCTGATTTTCGATACTTTTGACAACCCTAGTAAGTGCACAAGTCCAGTTTATGTAAATGTAACTAAGAACCATATGCTCGTGTAGGTACGGTGTGGCCCCAGAGAACATCATCTTGTACGGGACAGAGCATTGGCACTGTGCCCACCGTAGACCTGGCCGCGCGGTACGAGTGTGCAGCTGTCATCCTGCACTCCCCCCTCATGTCCGGACTCAGGGTGGCCTTCCCAGACACGCGCAAGACGTACTGCTTCGACGCCTTTCCCAGGTACCAGCACCACATCACCAAACTCCCAAACTCATTCCTCTGTGTGACGGGCATGTGCTTTGAAATGTCCATCCTCATTCTCATTGGTCCCAAATTCTCACATCTGAAATAGGGCTGAGTACTGATAAAGCTAGGGGCCCTGTTTGAAAGAATAATGTAGGTAATACCTGTCAAAAATATGGACACACTTTTTCATTTTTTGTTATGTCTTTATTTTCATTAAAAAAGAACTGAACTTGTTTTAGAAAAATAGCCACCCCTTGATTTGATCACTGCTTTTGATATTTGCTATTTCTTGACCTTGACAGTTCATCCTTGTGAAGTGAAAACCATTTCAGGTGACTGAAAACAAAGCAATCTGTGACAACTCTGAGAAATAATAAAGACAAAAAAACACTGAATGGGAAGGTGTGTCCAAACTTTTGACTGGTAGTGTAAATGTGTTTACTAGTTCCTAGCTAGACACATCACTAGCTCAACATCCATACGTTTCTTAGTGCGTACAGCTCTAGATCATTTTTTTCCTGACATTAAAGTGAAGTATGAGTGGACTGCCATTGCACATCCAACATATTCTCATGTCAATATGTATTTAATCTGCCTTTGCAATTCATTAAATGTTTGACAATTACATGCAGACAGCACAGTCTTATTAGTCTTTTTAATAAAAAAGAAGAAACAACTAAGGACAAATTTACAATGTAACCTATGGGGGGATTCACTTTTCTCTTCAAACCCCCAGCCCACAAGATCACAAGGCCCACGTTAATATAATAGGAAAAAAAAAACCCTGTTGATAGCATGAGAGGAAAAACTCACATATGTACATAAGAGACATCTCAAAAGAATGACATTAAAGTGGGCCTAAACACCTAAAGTGCTCCCCAACTCCATTTTAAATGAAGCTCCTAAACTGGGAAGGACTCAAGAAGAAAGTGAAGGGGAAGAGGGGTGGGGACATATGAGGAACAGTGTGATAGATCTAACAGGTATCCACACTTTGAACTCTACCCCTGTAGCCTGGTGTTGGTAATCAGAAACACTTGGCTGTAGTCAAGTCGTGTGATCTCAGCAAGTACTTACAATAGCAGTGGACACTGGAGCCAGGGCACACAAATTTTTATAATTTTTTTCACCACAACGCTGCAAATATAACTAGCTTGCACTTAAGCTTTCGAAAAAAGCGATAGGAACAGCAGTTAATGTTACAGGATTAAAGCACCATATGCACAGTTTAGTTGCAAAAAAAAATGTTGATTTGCTTGATGATTGATTGTGTTTAGTTTCACTTCGAGTAGTATATATTAGCAAGCTTTTCCATTCACAGATCTGCCTTCATTTACATGCTTACTTACCCACAACAAAGACTAAAGCTCATTGAATGACCTCCACAAACCTATTTCTAATCGTTCTTCCCCCGTGTGTGTCCCCATCTCACCGCAGTATCGACAAAGTGTCCAAGGTGGCGTCCCCGGTGCTGGTCATCCACGGGACGGAGGACGAGGTCATCGACTTCTCCCATGGGCTTGCCATGTATGAGCGCTGTCCACGTGCCGTCGAGCCTTTGTGGGTCGAGGGGGCGGGACACAACGACATCGAACTCTATGCGCAGTACCTGGAAAGGCTAAAGCAGTTCATCTCCTTCGAGCTGTCCACATCATGATGATGATGTTCAATGCGCCAAAAATGTCTTGCGGCAGCGGAGTGGGGTGTAGCCTGCATTTCAAGCCTGGATCATAGTGCTGCCCGCTGCTAAACTCACTCCAACGTGGTTCAGTATGTCCCCTGTGTCCCCTTTACCTGTCTCACTGCTGTCCCCAAAAATGTCAAATTGTCTCTTTCCCCATTTGTCCCACTTCTGTTCCCACCATAGCCTGTATAAAGAAGTGGACTAAGGGAGTGCGACTTTACCCATAGCATTCGACTCCAGTCAAATGACAATGATCACGAGGCTAGCAGGTACACAAGCAAATTTGGAGAAGATTTCCATATTAGTAATTGGATTTTTTTTTTTAATGGACAAACATAGTGAAATAAAAACACCAGGATGATGTGGCGTGACAACATTTTAAGCCCAAAATGATGAGTCGATGGAGCCAGAAGCACCCTCATGCTCACTTCCTTTTTGGAACACAGCGGCTAGCTATGTCCGTTTATATATACAGTCTATGTGTCCCCCCATTCTCACTCCAACTATTTCAGAAAATTTTTTTGTCTACGGGACATGCCTGTACTGTAGTTGTTGATCTTGTTTTTGTTAGTTTTTTTTATAAAGAGGTCTATTTCTAACTCCCTCCAGAAACCTAGAGATGGGATGCAAGTGCTACTGTTTTTTTTTAGTTTTTTTTTTATGGGTCCTTATTTTCAAAATAGATTATGGTCCAGAAGCTGATTGGTTGTTCGTACTGCCACAGAGGTAGTTGCAATCCTTTTGTTTTTTATACATATAGTTCTTTTTGGCAAAGTTTTATGTAGAGCTGTTCTGATATGGATTTAACGTGGATACCGTCGTTTTCAAGGTACCGGCAAGTATCTAAGCCAATTCATTATACCGATACAATATTTTTCATGACCGAGGAACCATACATGCAATCTTCATGGTGTTGTGGCTAATGCTACTGTTAATACCCAGAACTGCGATTGTGGAGTTATTTTTTACACACTGACCTTGGCGTCGGACTGGTACTCAGCAGGTTCTCGGCAGCTTCCCTGAGCCAAAGTATTGGAATGGAATGAAGAAATTTTAATAATTTTTTGTAAACAAATATTTTTGTTTTTGTTTTCTATGTGTAGTGGGGTTCAAAAGTGAAGTGAAACACAGATTCAAACTGAAGGAGTAACTAATAGTTCCATCTCATCCCTCGAGCTACACGGCGGTCATCCGGGATTCATAGAACCATGGTTAGTTTTAATGAGTACGACTTTATGAACTGCCTTATTCCCCAAGAAAGTCCCAGACCAACCTAACTGAGGATTTCTGACCAAATACATGGGGTTTTCTGACATAACACTAATACGAATTTGTAACTTCTGAAGCCTCCAGACAATTTTACGTTTTATGCCTGTATTTTGTATTTTTTATAGTGAAGAAATCTCGCTTTTGCACCAGATTTGATTTTGTGCGTTCATGTAGTTGTTGAGTTGCACTTTGATTGTGCAGATTAATATCAGGTAATGGTTATTTTCTAAGTTTTGTTCTTTTTAAATGTGTATTGACTGTTTTAATTGATCGAGTACTTTTTTGTGTGAATTTTTTAGATATTTTTGTTTTCAAGATTGAGCTCAAGGTGAAATCTCTTACAGTTTAGGTTAGGGCCCATATGATTTCAAGTACCGTACTCATTTCAGCTACACTCCACATACTGGCTAGCCATATAGCTCTCTGTTTGTGTTCTGTGCTGAGAAAATCTATCTTTATCCGTATTACTCCATAGCAACCAGTCCCAGGGGGTAAGCTCTTTGCAACGCAGCATGTCCTGTCTTAAGAATTCTTTTACCAAAACAGTCAGGATGGTGGTTGCATGCTCCATATCTTTGCAACCTTTTGGATAATCTAAACAAAAAACTCAGCAACTGGCAGCTTTGAAAGACCAGATTTTTGCCATGGTTTGCTATGATTGAAATTAGAAAAAGTAATACCAGATGTACCCGCTAATGTGTGTAGAAAATGAAAGAAATTGTAGGCATGCATAGTAATCACACTGGCACATGAATATATTAGGATATTACTATCAAAACCTGTTCAGTGAGCAGATTTTTTTGTGCAGATGGTTGCAATGTAATTAACTATGATGAAGGAACTATAGAATGTATCTTAACTCAACTTGAATTGTTTATGTTAATGACAAAAAAACAAAAAAAAATCACTGAATTTTCCAGTTATAATAATGTGGCTGTGAGCGTTCAAGATGTATGCGAAAAAGTATTTTTAAAGAGCCCATATTACTCTACATGGAGTTGCTTTTTTTTTTAATTCACACATTTAACACACAAATGCTGCAAAACAGAAAACACTATTCCATTTTGCGATGCCATGTGTCCACTCCATTAATCTTCACTAGAATCATTTGGATCATTTCAACCCTGGAATTGCCAATCTTTCCTAAACAAAACATAAAAGTTAGATGTTAAATTGAAAACTACTGCTTCATGACATCACAAGGTGGAACAGAGCATTGTGAGCTTTGAAGATGTAAACAGGCAAATAATAAAGGGTTAATCAAGCGTGTGAATGAAACAAAACATAACTCCATTCTAACATTCACTCAAACCAGGCAGAAGTAGACTTATTAGACTGCATAACTATTGCTGCCGAGCCAATACTACAGAAAGTCATATGGCTAGCCAGGTTACTACTACTACTACTACACACACTACTCAACAACGTGTCTGAATCTGACCGTCGGATGCTTGAACATTTGTAAAACTGTTAATATTCTATACAAAGCCTTATGTTCGGACCACTTTTCATGAAGGAGCTTTTGGACTGACGACGATGACTACTACTTCTATTACTACTGCTACTATTACTACTACTGCTGCTGCTGCTGCTAACCCTGTCTCTCACATATGGGACCGACCTGAGTGAGGAAGACATCTGGACACTCTGGCCTTGGGCACGTCCACTGGTCCAAACTCGAATCAATGTGAATAATGACCTGTCACAAGGCTGAAGGATGGTAGATGTTCGAGCAGAAGAATGTTCACTGCAAAAAAATAAAAAATGTATATCTTTGGGTGTTAAAATGATTTGAATTCAGATACTAATCTAGTTTGAGTAGATTCTGGTTGGACCCACTCATGAATTCCACAGAACTTCAGAGTCGGTCATCTTAAAATTATGGTTCTGGTGGAAGCACCGTCCAATGCTTTTTTCCACTTAAATGTTTTTGCTTTGCCTGGAATTCCTCACAGGGGTATTGAAGCTTTCTGTCTTCATGGAGACCAAACTAGACCAAGTTACAGTTCAGATTTGTGGAGAAGCGACCCCGCTCACACTCCGAAAGCATGTTTTTCTGGGTATATTTGAGCTGTATTTGAATAAATGCAAGGTACAACCTGTTTAATGTCATACTGTGGAACTTTCCAGGCAGATTAATGGCATATCCATAGAAACAAGCAGTTGATGGACCTCCAATCAAAAAGTTACACAGTGCAAGTTGAAAACAGATGAAAAAAGCATAAAAATCATTATATAGATTTGAAATTTTCTATCAGTAACCCAAATATCCCAACACAAAAATGCTATGTCAAAACTACTCAAATCAGTATTGTCCATTGAACTCATTTTAACTCTTGCAGTGTTGATGACGACAACTGTGGGCTGTTTCATCTGGTCAACCCTCACTTGTCTATGCATTCTAACATTCTAATGCCAATGTTTGATTTTGATACTGAGATTTTTTTTTTAACTATTTTTCAATGTGAATGTTTGAACGGTTCTATACTCGTGCTGTACCCGGAGAAGAGATGGTGTGTCTTTATGCAATGGTGCCGTAGATGTGGGTCTCGTTGGACTAAAGCCTTAAGATGCTGTGATGATGAAGATGATTGTCCTGTCACTGTTCTGGCAGCTCGGTGATGTTTGAACTAATAAAGAATGCATGAAGTATGGAGTCTGTCAGTGCGTCATTTGTGTTCAAGTCGATAAAGTATGTATGGCAGGTTTTGATGTTTTTCTGATTCTTTGTTTGGTGGGGTAGAGTCTGGGAAATGTTTAGTACAGTGTAGTTTTACATTTAATGGTAGTTTGAAGAAATGTTGGGGAAAATGTCTGGAAAAGTATCTTTAAATATAATTCTGTTTTAGTAAAATGTGTAACCCCGTCAGATGCACGTTTCTTATTTTTGCATCTTTAACCAAAATCAAAAAAAAAAAGAAAAAGCTTGAAATTCTATATTAGTGTATATATGTGCTTAAAGACACAGTAAAAAAAAATAAAATAGAGACAAAAATAAAAGCATGTTTATGACACTGAAAAACACAGAAAAACGTATGTGTGAGCAGAATTGCATTTCCACAAAACTGACTCATATTTGGCCGGGAAATGGGCCTCCTCCTCTTGTTTCCAAGGAACTTTTGTTCTTTTGGCTATACTATTCCAAGGTATACTATAAAACATATGCTTTTGATCTCCATGGAATCATGCAAGTGACATGCCACCTCCAGAAAGTTGCATACTGTACCTTTAAATTGTTCATGCTTTTAGTTTTTACATGCTACTTTACTGGTGGAGGGTACGCCACCTGCTTAAGTTTAAAATGTCTGACAGGTTTGACTCCTTATTAAATCACAGTTAAAATCATTATATTTAAGATTGTTTGCGCAGTTTAGCCATTTTTAAGGTTTAAAATTGTACCTCCTGGTTGGAAATTATGACATTACACTAAATGTTACTTAGCCAAACTCCTTTAATGTACACATATACAAATACAAATGTAAGAAAACACCTTTATTTTGTTGAAATCATGTTTAAATTAAATTATCTGAAAAAAAAAAAATAGTTTGATGTGTGTAAATTGTGTCAAACTTTTGGACAGAATTCACCCAACTTCTCTTATGAAATTGCTTCTTGATTGTTATAAAACTAATTTATATTTACAATAGTTATAATCACACCAAATTAAGTCAAAATTAGAGAATCATACAAATCTGGCATATGAACTTTAAGGTTCCCCATTGTGATATTAATCTAATGCATTTGACCCAATCGTCAGTGCTGCTGGGTCAACCTGTCCTATCCTGGAGCAGGATCCATCTCCAGATTGTAAACTATTGTGCAGGTTTAGCCTCAAAGCATGTGCAACTCCTGGCCAATATAGTTTTTAATACTTTAGTGAAAAAATACCTTTTGGAGCTACTATATTTTAATATATATAGATCCAGTAACCAGTGCTGGATGAAGTACTTAATTTTGTTAGTTAAATAAATGTACAGTTACCAGAGCAAAAAAAATGAAACATTTCATCACATGAAAAAAATCTACTTAAGTTAAAGTATTAAAATATCAGTTAAAAATGCACTTAAAGAATAAAAAAGTAAAAGTATGTTGTGTACATTTTAAGACTTAACAAAGCTTCAAATGGTTTTCAGTGATTTCAAGTGATTTTAATGAAGATTTGTATTGCATTTTGTTCAACAGAAACTTTTTTTTTTCTGTAGCATTTTTTTATTTGTATATTTTTATTTGTTCAAATTGCAAACATGTTAAAAATAAACTACTCAGCCTTTTCAGCAGACGTTTAAAAAAAAAAAAAACTTCAGTGCTGTTCAAAAATGTAGTGGAGTAGAAAGTAGATACCTGCTCTCAAATGTACTAAAGTCAAATTAAAAGTATCCACTATAAAATGTACTGTACATAAGTAAAGTGCACATACCCAACATTTCTACTTAAGTAGAGTATTTTATTACTTTGACTTTGTTACATTCCACCACTGTCTGTAACTCATATAGAAAGCTGTCTGCCACCATAGACTCTGAGCAGCTTAGAATATAATGATGCCACATGAACCCAATCAAGGGTTTGTGAAGAGAGAAGAGAACAGACATTCAACCCTAATCAGGAGTCTAATGTTGGCACGGGCTTATGTGGAGATGGACCAAAGATACAGAAGAACAATCAACTCCTCATCATCCCACAGCTCTGGCTTTTCTCAGACAAAAGGCAAAATCTGGGACATAGAAATGCACAAAAGGGTTACTCCAGGTGCCACAATTCTATCCTCATTTCCACTTTTAATATATTGTGTTTATGTATTTATATATATCATACAAGCTGCCAAATCTCTATCCATCCATTTTCTTCAGTCTAAGCAAGGACTCCCAGACTTCCTTCACTCAGGACACTTCCTCTGGCTGCCAAATCTGCTTGTTTCTATGGTTGCTGTGCCTTAAATGTTCCACAGTATGACACTGAACAGTTCTACCTTACTTTCATTAAATACCAGGTGTTTTTATAGCTCAAAAATACCTAGAAAAAACCTGTGAGTGGAGTTGCCATTCCATGTGGTCTGGTTTAGTCAAGATTTAAAGGTTTAATGCCGTACTGTGAAACATTCTAGACAAAGCAATAACATCTAATAAGTAAAAGTATGTCTTGAAGATTTTAAGATCTAATAAAACTTCAAATGATTTTCAATGATTTCAACTTTTTTATTGCTTTTTTTATTTGTATATTTTTGTTTCCTCAAACTACAAACGTGTTGAAAATAAACCACTCACTTCCATGGAGAAAAGCATTTGACAGACCCTCTACTGGAAAAGTTACACAATATGCACCTTTAGGGGTTGTAAAGCCATATGTTTGTTCCATAAATATGAACTTTAAGGTTCTTCATTGAGATATTAATCTACTGCAGTTGACCCAATCCTCAATGCTGCTGGGTCAACCTGTCAGGAGTAGGGACTGTAAACAGTTATGCAGGTTTAGGCTCCAAACACATGCAACCCCCAGCCACTATATTTTTTAATACTTTAGTGAAAAAAAACTTTTTTGTGCTATCTTAATATATAGAGAAATCCAGTAACCGATGGTGGAACTACTATACTAAGTGTTCAGTTTTGTTACTTAAGTAAAAGTACAGTTACCAAAATAAGTCACATGAAAAAATCTACTTAAGTTTAAGTGTTAAAGTATCAGTTAAAAATGCACTTAAAAAGTAAAAAGTAAAAGTATATTGTGAAGATTTTAAGATCTAATAAAGTTTCAAATGGTTTTCAATGACTTCAAGTGATTTTGATCAAGATTTGTATTGAATTTTATTCAACAGAAACTTTTTTCTATTGTGTTTTACTTGTATATTTTTGTTTCCTCAAACTACAAACGTGTTCAAAATAAACCACTCATCTCCATAGAGAAAAGCATTTGACAGACCCTCTACCGGAAACATTACACAATGCACCTTCAAGGGTTGTAAAGCCAAATGTTTTTTCCACAACTACTAAGGTTCCCTATTGAATTTAATAACGTTCAACTGGAAGTGCCACCACAAAAAAGTGTGATTTAGGAACATTTAGACACAAAAGTGGGCAGGGTGTAATAAAGTGGATAAAGCAGTTTTTATTTGATCAAAATTACATTGAAAAAAATTTAAAGTTGTGAGAGTTGTGTTTTGTTTCATTCAGACATGTTAACACACAAATCCTTCATATTTAGACTGAGTTCTTCTCTAAAATGGAAAACACTTGGTTCCACCTTGTGATGTCATGTGGTAACACATTAACTGCTCCAGTGTGTTTACATGTTAACTTGAAAACTAAAAAAAACAACTACTAAAACTAATAGGCCATAGGACCTTTAAATTAAGAGCGGGGTTTACACTGTGGGCTCATGCTTCACAGCAGTTTTTCAGAAAAGGTCCAATTATGTCCTATGGAATTGTTTTAGTAAGGTATAACATGTAGTTTAGATACTAGTATTAGTGTTGAGTAATATCTATTTTTGACAACTCCAGCTGAACTTTTTGGAAGAACTTTTCGTGGTAACTGCTGCTGGAAGCAAACAAGAGTAATTAAACAGACAGTGCGTCCGGATTGTGGTACATGTGAGAACTGTTTACTTATGACTAACCGCTGTGTAAGCACAAAACTGTCCAAGGACTACCGTTAAGGCCCGGTGGCGCCCCCTACTGCAGCACCATGCAAGCTACCCAACCTGCCTCAACAGTGGAGGCTGCAGTGGACCACCAACTACTGGTCCAGAATTAATTGAATGACTCTATTATTTATATGTAGCCTGTGATGATGCGGTGTAATCAGAGCCTAATATTTCAAAAGGAAATGGTCATTGTGATCTAATGACAAGTGCACTGATCCCCCTCATTGGCAGACCGCCTGTGGAAAGTGAGTTAAACACACGGAAACTGCAGGCCAACTCTTGAGCTTCTACTCTGGAATTTTCCTCTGGGATTATTATAGCCTTTAATGCCAGAGTGTGGTAGCGCAAAACCCTCAGCACCTCCTCCAGACTCCTCCAGACTGGAGTGAAACGGTGATCCGCAGCGGAGGTAAGTCGACCCGCACGAGCAGCTCGAGTGTCCGCTGTGCCCGGTGTGGTATAGGACCGTGCACAGGAGCGTGCACAGGACCGCGCACAGGAGCGCCTCAGCTGTAGTCTGGGATTGACAGTTCACAACCCACAGGCGCGTTTTGGAGCCACGCGCGCTCTCTGGGCGTGTCTTATCTGAGCCGGAGTAAATAGAGGCGGCGGGGTGTCGAGGAGGAGATGGCGTGTTTGCGCGCTCACACACCGCCTGCTCACTGAACATCTGCGCTCCACCGCTGTCTCTGCCTCTCTGTGCCACGGGCTACTCAGGTCTCCCTGCCGCGTCTGACGCTGTCTGCAGCTGTCACTGCCGCTGTCTCCTGCCGCTCCACGAGGACTGCACTGCACGGTAAGAACATCTCTGTGTGTGATGAATGGGTGAGTGGAGAGCCACAGGTGTGCGCTCGCGGCAGACTGGAGCGTGCCTCCTGGTTCTATAGGCGCTTTGCTCCGTCCTCAGTGCGCTTGGAGCGGCTCAGGAAACATGTGCCGCCCGCAGCTCCTGTCCAACAGGTCCACGCACAAACGGGCTTTGTGCGCGAGCCTTTGGAACAGTTGACACGGAGCTGAACCCTGTCACGAGACGCACCACTTTGACCAAAAAGCTTATGGCACAGTGTCCACGTCCACTTCATTTCTCATTCAGGTGATGCTCAGCCCGGCATCAGGGAAGATTCTAACCATCATCGAAGCTTCCCAGCACCAGCCAATAAGATTCTCTAAATTACTGTCCAACTAACATCATGAACCATTTCTAACAGTGGATACTTCTAATGTCTCATATGCGCACCTGTGTCTCGTGTAACCTTGTTGATAACATTTGAGTGTGACTGATGGGTATTTGGAGTGTTGTGTGTGTACTGAGCGCTGCACCTGCCTCAGCCCTGACTCCTGACAGCTCCGCGGGGTGCTGGAGGTGCTGAGGGTCGCTGTTGTACGCTGTTGTTTCTGTCACACTGATTATGAATAGTGCAGTCACAATGACCTTAAGCTTCTTGTAGTGCCCTTTTCATTTTTTTTTTTATAATGCTTTGCTACTGGGCGTGTTTACAACAGGATTTCATGTTTTATCACATAATGACTGTTTGTCATGTTTTGGAATGTTGGTACTGTGATAGAGACAGACAGAGCGTGCCATGCATGTCGCCCTCTGCTGGCAGTGGTGGGGAGTGAAGCAAGTTGAAATGACTTACGAGCAGCACGGCTATTTGCAACAGGATCCTATAGTTTATAAGTTGATATTATCATAAGCTAAGATAATACATCTCCTGCTTTTTAGAAAACCGATAGATCCTCAGTGTGAATATTAAAGGGTCTATATTACACAAAATTGATTATTGTGAGCTTTAGGTCATGTTATAATGCCGTTACCTGCTTAAAACATATCCGGAGTTGTGTTTATTCACACATGAATTGAGTAACATTTATTATCAGTCCGTCTGCACCTCCAGAGCTCTAAATGCTCTGTTCCACCTTGTGATGTCATGTAGTGGTTCAGTTAAAAAATGTCAGTTCCATAGCTGAAATGATCCAAATGATTCTAGTGAAGGTGTGTGGAGTTTAAAAACACAGTGGAGCAAATCTTGTATTACCACTTGAAGAGAAATATGCAGGTTTTGTGTTGAACATGTGTGAGTGAAACAAAACACGTCCAGGTATGTTTGTGATGATCAGAAAATGATGCAATATAGGCCCTTTTAAGGATCGTGTGCTTACGTACACAGAAGGCTATTAATGTCTCTGAACAAAGTGATAAGGCAGTAATTATTTTGAAGTTATCTACAGAGTTATCAGTGAGTGAATGTTGTACCAGGTAATAGGTTAAGGTTATGGTTAAGACAGATTGTGATAGTCCCTGTGGGGAGATCTGTCCTTAACCTTTAATTCATCCTCCAGCAGCACAATAGTGACCGGTCAACAATGGAGGCAATATATGGGGTAAGTAGTATACAGTTACATTTACTTGAGTAATGTTTCATACAATTGCACTTCTCTGAGTAGTTTTCAGACACCATACTCGAGTAATATATTTGACAGTGTAACAGTACTTCACATTTTGGTTCCTTTTAGTCTGCTAGTGACAAAAGATTTATGACATTATTAAATGATTTGAACATTTGCTCTGCTCAGATCTGAATTAGTTTCTCTCATTTTTGTGGTTGGTCCAAAAATACAAAATTCTCTGTTCTTGCAATTAAATCGACTTGAAACTATAAATCATGGTGTGTCCAGACAGCTCTTACAAATACTTTTACTTGACTAGTTTTCCCAAATTAGTTTTTACTCTTATTTGTAGTACCTGCTTTGTACTTTTACTTGAGTAATACTATTTATACTTTTACTTAAAGGTGCATCTTGTAACTTTTCCGGTGAAGTGTCCATCAAATGTAAAATTTTCTCCATGGAGATGTTATTCCTTTGTATGGAATATTTCACAGTATGGTATAAAAATCTTTCTATTTTCATAAAGACCAAACCAGACCAAGTTACAGGTCAGATCTGTGGAGAGGCGACCCCGCTCACAGTCAGAATGCTTGTTTTTGTAGGTATTATCGTGCTATAAAACCACCAGTAATTGGATAAATGTAAGGTCGAGCTGTTTAATGTCATACTGTGGAACATTCCAGGCAAACCCCCAACCAAAAAGTTACATAGTGCAGCTTTAAGTATAATTTATGTCTTCTACATAAAAGAGAGAGAACATAAATCTAAATCTGCCTTGAATCTAGTGTTTGTGGTTTGATGCCTGCTTCAACCAGTGCATCCTATTGTGCCCTTGAGCAAGACATTTCACCCTCTCAGTGTAACATGGTGTGTGAGTGGATATTTAGTAGCGTTTGGATAAGGCTGTAAATGTTGATATAGCAATATACTGTAATAGATTTCTTAACAGTACATATGACTCATGTTAATTCATTATAAATGGTTGAGTTATACACTTAAATACCTGCTGAAGTGAACCAATTTTTTGTTCTGATGCTAAGGCAATCGTGTGCATGAAATTATAGGGGAAATATCTATATTGTAAACCTTTAAGGCCTTTTTATTAGTTTTATTAGCATATGTTGTGGTGAACCCTGTATCAAAGTATGTATTGTATGGTAAGTGCTTGTTGGTGATACCAAGCCCTAGTGATTCGAACAGCTATTGGTGTGGATTATGGTTAATAATAATGATGATGAAGTCTTATATTGTGCTTTTTCAGACACTAATTGTTGCCTTAAAATTCTGTGCATTATTCATTCACTCCATACCCGGTGGTGGTAACCTACTATTGTAGCCACAGCTGCCCTGGAACAGACTGATGGAAGCGAGGCTGCTAATCTGCACCATCAATCCCTCCAGACACCACCAACACTCATGCACACACCACATCCATAACAGGTGAGTGAAGTGCCTTGCCTAAGGACACAACACAAAAGCCCCACTGTGGCACCGGGGACAGCCTCCTCTCCAAGTGTTTACCAGACCCAGTCCTGCTCAGCCTGAATAGCTGTGGCTCCTGGAATAGCTCACCATCATCAAGTATAGAGAGTGAATTAATAACAATGTAAAGTGAATAGCACCATTATTTTGCATTAGTGCTATATTATGACGTATCATGCCCAAGCAGGCATGTGACGCAGTGCTGGGACTTGAACTAGTGTGCGTACGCTTTTTCCACATTTTCCTCAAGTTTCATTCAAAACAACATTAGACACGCTCCTTTTATCAGATAATATCTTTTTTTTTATTTTTTCATTTGAGCTTGGGGACGCCATACTTAAATCCTTACAGCCTCCCTTGCTTCCCTGGAAAGACTTCTATCCACTATGCTGCGAGGAGCAGCTGTCACTTTCCAAGAGGAGGCCCTGAGCCGCCTAGGAGCCGGGCACAGCGCCAAGCCCAAATCTCTGGAATCTGGCATCCAGGAATCCAACCAGAGAGAGGGCTGCCTTCGAGCGGAGCATTCCCAAATCAAACTCCTAATCTCTGCCTGCTCGTCTGTCAGCGCTTTAATGGCCTGTGAAATTGTTTAGTGCACTTGTTTGCATGTCTGAGCCTGTGATTTCGAGAGGGCTAAGGATCTGACTCCTCTGTGTCATAGCTGGAGGACTGTCCCATCTGTGGATGATGTAGGACAGCCAGGGAGTCTGAAATAGAATGGTGGCAGTTTGGGTTAGGGTTAAGGCTGGGATTTGGGTGTGAGCTAAGGTTAGGGTTGAGGCTAGGGTTAGGATTGTGTCTAGGGTTAGTGTCGGGGTTATGGCTAGAGCTAGGCATCAAACCATCAAGGTGTATAGCTGAATTCAAGAACTGTGTTAGGGCTTTCCATGAATTCAATGAAGTTTTGTTTTGGTCATCCCATTAAGGGAAACTCAACCCAAAACATGCACAAACTAGGATAGCTAAGGTAGTCCTGACCAAGACTAGCTCAAGATCACAGAGATTGGTCCCACTGCTCTTGACAGGTTGCCCCAAAAGCATTGAAGGATGGGCAACCAGGGACAACAAAGTGTGACCTTAGCAATGTAGTGGAGGGAGTAGGAGATAATGAGAGAGTGGTTAGCGCCTCACAGCAAGAAGGTGCAAGGTTAAATTCCTTAACCTTGCAGAAGTTTTGGTGTGGAATCTCGATGAGGTTTCCTTTGAACATTCTGGTTCATTCCATTCTCCTTTTTATATAAATCTGTCTCAGGCATTTGGGCCATCATTCAACAATTAGTACTGGGAAACATATCAAGTAATTCTACATGTGTAAAAAAATACACGTTCAGAATAAAAATTTTGAGTAACTGGTGGTATTTCGATACATTTGATGGTGTTAAGAATACAACGTAAATGTCATAAAATGAATACAAGGCTGAACTTTATCATCCAAGTTATGTTTCAGACAGTATTATTGAGAAAAACCAAAGCTGTTTTTAATCCTATTGTGTATCCGTAATTCGTTCACTGATCTGAAGGTTTGCGGTTCGAATCCCTCTCTTGACATAAACATCATCGGTAGAGCGGTCAGATCCACTCCCCCGCAGAAGAATGTGGTCTGATTGGCTTATTGGTTGTTTCCTGATGTTCAACACTTGTACCGGTCAGTGTCCTCCCACACAGCGGCCTGCTCACTGTCTCTCCTTGCTGGTGTGAAATGTCTGCACGCCTCACTTCCCACTTACACTTTTCATCTGTTTAAATATTATTCACACATGTCACTGTTTAGGCGGATAGCACATTCACTTCTTCTTTCAATCTTAAAATATCAATGCCCTGGAAAGCAGAACTAGTCTATTTTTTAGAAGTCTTAAATCAATTCCTACTTCCCTTATGAATTTCGAGCATCCCGATTATTCACCATGATGAACTTATAACATA